CTTTGGTTTCAACTCACACCTCTGAGTCAGCCTCTCTCTAGGGAAGGTGTGTTTTGGAAAATACGCCCCAGGTAATTCTGATGCAGAACCAGATTGGGGGGCCATTAAGTGATTTCAAAGGGAATTTCAGAATCCTGGTTCCCACTCATCTCTCCCCTCCCTCCCACCCACTGTGGAGACTCTGAGGTCCTAGGGGGAGGGTCTTAAAGGGCCAAAGAGCTCTGTCCTTAGCCCCTGCCCTATGCTTCTGTTCTGCTTGCCATAAACGTGGGCTGGCAGTGACATACCAAACTGCATGGACCTCTGGGTAAGGGCAAACTCCAGAGTCTATCTCCCCAAGGATCTGAGGCTTGGGTGAGCCAGGTCCACTCCTATTTCCTAGCCAGCAGCCACTGAGCTTGGCCTGCCCACAGAGGCATTGAGGGGGTGACGCCTCCCCTAATCCCCAGAGCAGACGGAGATGAGGAAAGGTTAATTTTCATTCCAGCTGCCTGACAGCTGGGGCTGACAGTGACAGAGTGGGTAGCCAGGAGACTGGGAACATGGGGGAGGGATGGTGGAGGCCCTGCCTAGGGTAAGGATCAGTTGGTGAGTCAGCCTGGTCCCCAGCTTCAGGAAAGGACCTCAATGACTTCAATGCACACTGCTCCCCCCACCTCCCCCATTGCAGATGAGGAAACTGAGGAGCAGAGAGGAACAGGATTTGTCAGGGCCTCTGGCCCTTGGGTCAGCGCCCTCCTGAGGGCTACTCTGGCTGTACAAGACAGGGACTGAGTAGGTCCTGCAGAACCAGTAGTCTGAGGGAGCCTCACCATCCTTGCGGTAGTAGAGGATGTCCACCTTGCACTCCTCTGTCCCCAGCAGGGCCTGCGCTAGGCGGGACATGGCACTGCGCGGGGTATTGGGGCCTGTGAGGAAGTCGCAGGTGCAGGGTCGCTGCATCACCTCCACTCGGGAGTAGCCGAAGAGTTCACAGAAGCCGTCGTTGCAGTAAATGATGGCGCAGTTCTCCATCTGCGCATTGGCAATCAGGAACTTCCGACCTGGGATGGGATGTGGGAAGCCCATGGCAACCAAGACTGGGCAATGAGGGGTGGAAAGATCATAGGGATTCTTGGCAGCAGTGAGGGGTGTCTAGATGGGGGAGCAGAGCAATAACCAGAATGAGGGAGAGAAGTGAGGTCTGATGTGGGGGGAGGGGGCCTAGAAGGCCAGGGTGATGGGGGAAGGTTATGGGACTCCTGAAAGTAATGAGAGTAATGGTTAGAATGGGAGATCAGAACAATGACCAGAAATGTGTAGGAGGAGGAGTCAGGCCTGAGTGTCCTGGGAAGACCAGGGCAGCAATGGGGTCAGTGAATTGGGAAGGAGGCCCAAGGCTTCCTGGAGTCAGTGCAGGGAGTCAGGAAGAGGGAGCCAGGATGTGATCAGATGGGGCCCAGGCCTGGTGAGAGCTCCTAGAAAAATTAGAGTGGCTAGGGTCAGGCAGTGAAAAGAAGGGATCAAGGAAATCTCTGGAGGAAATGGGGGGCGGGTGTTCAGGAGGAGGAAGCAAGACAGTGATAGAAGGGGGGTAAGCCCTTGGGGTACCAAGAAATCAACTCAGGGGAGGAGGGGAGTACACTCTGCTTCTGCTGCTCCAGCAGAGAGCGTGGCATTTGAGGTAAGTGGGGCTTGCTGGAACAGAAGGTGTCCGGAGATGTTAAAGCGAAGGATTTTGCATTCATCAGTACCCCCGACCCCGACCCACCCTGATCCATTCGAAGTAAGTAAAAGGGTCTCCTCCACTCCTGCCACCGGACCAGGAATTCAGATCGGCCCCCACCTCAACGCACACACTCACTCTGGCCTTCGAACTTGCGGATGATGGTGTCCAGGTACGTGTTTTGGGGCGCGACGTGGCCCCTGCGGACAGGCATCTTTCGGCGGCAGCCTCCTCCCGGAGCCACCAGGGCCCCGGCTCCCTGCTTCTGCGCTTGCCCTCGGGCTCAGCGGCGTCCGGTCCCGGGTGGGCGCCGCCCCGGGGGAGGGCTCGGGGCCCCGCGCCCCTGCTGCCCGCCTGCGCCGACCCCCCGCGGCCCTGCACCGCCTTCCCAGGCCGGCCGCTCGGCGAGCGCCTCACTCCCCAGGCGCCCGCCCCGGAGCTGTCCGCGCCGCGGTGCTGAAAGAAGCCGCGCGGCGGCGGGGCGGGGTTCGCGGGGCGGGGGCAACTTCTCACCGACCCGACGGGGCAGGGGCGGGCCCTGACTCCGAGGGGGCGGAGCCGGGCAGAAGTGCAGCACCAGGAACAGATCAGGGCTCCTCTCCGGAGCTTCTTTCTGCCCCTGTGCCGCTGGCCAGTGGCCTCAGCCCCTCTCCGACCCTCTCCGGCTACCGAAGGGCAGCCCAGACGTTGCCTGGCCGGGTCTTTTTAGGCGGGGGGTGGGGAGAGGAGGAGCAAGAGTTGTTAGAGCCCTCAGGTGGACTTTTGCTGTTTCATTCAGGGTTAAACAACCCTTAACCCGCCCTTAACCGCGTGCCCTCCAGCTGAATCCCAGTGCCCGTGCAGAGCTCCTAAATGGCAAGCTCAACGCGGCCCTGGCCCTGGGAAAATGGGGTAGGAGTACATACGAAGGTGTACCAAAAAATATACACAATAAGGTACTTTCTTCAGGGGCCTGAGAGGTTTTTTTGTTTTGTTTTGTTTTGTTTTGTTTGTTTTTGGTTTTGTTTTAGCATATAGGCACTGATTAGGGGGAGAACAGATTGGAAACCACCTATTTAGTGAGTGACCACTGAGAAAAGTGTCTGAGTACTGACTGAAAATGAATACACTAAAAGAGCAGATGGGAATGGGGTGAGGTTTATTGAAAGAGGCTTCTTAAAGAGGTGGATTATTATTCACTGAGCATCTCGGTGGTCTTGGAGCTTTGCAGAAGGTCCAATGAACAGTTTTGAGTCAGGCCTTGTAAGTCAAACATTCAAATGGGGCATACACCTTAGGCAAAGGCCAGTGGTGGAATCAGGGCAAGTGGGCTAAGCTGGGGCCTGGGAGAGGTGAGGTTTGGACAAAAGGGAAATTGATAAAGACCCTCAGATGCCATTTGAACATCTAGATTTAATTGATGGACAACGAAGTTCTTAAGCAGTTAGACACGAAGGAAATATTCCAGTGAAAGAAACTTTACAATGGCGGGTGGGGGAGAGAGGATGGACAAGGAAGCTCAGTGAGGTTTTTGCTGGAGTCCAGATGAGAGGCTTGGAGTCCCGGGCTGGGTGTGCCTTTGCCACGCAGAGCCACAATGCCTGATGGAGGCCTGGTTGGCCACTGTGGCTGGGGAATGGGAGGGCTGCAAGTGTGGCCTCCCAGGGGGGGCAGAGTTGTCCTGGCTGCCCCTTGTTGGGGGGTGCAGGCTGGCTGTGGATGAAAGGTGGGGCTGTTTCTTGTGGGCTCTGAGGAAGGACTTGGGCAGTAGGATACTCATTCATTCACTTTCTCATTCAAACATTTTCCAAGTCTCCACCACATTATCTGGAACTGTGCTACCTGAAGACAGTAATACAGGGGACACAAGACCCTCTGGGTGTCTTGCCCTTACAGAGCTAACAGCTAGTAATGCAGATAAATGAGGACATTATAGCACAGTAAAGCAAGAGAAGTGACAGAGACACCAGACAAGACTGCTGTGGAGCCTGTAGCTGGCTTGGCCTCAGTCAGAACTCAAGATGAAGACTTCTTGAAACCTGGGGCAGAAGTAGGGTCCATGGAGATCTCAGCCCGGTCCCTCTTATCCCCTGAACTCTTGACTGTTGGGTTCAGATCCTTAATCTAGAGAGAGCCAGTCCTACCTTTTGACCACCCTCCCACCAACTCAACTATAGCCTAGTGCCCTGTCTCTGTGATTACTGGCTATGGTGCTTGTTGCCTCAAGACTCCCCTAATCTCTCACAGGCACTGATTTTCAGCCTCCCCAAGAGCTCCTTGGGGCCTGACTCCCAAACTCAAGGAGCCCACATATATTGGATGTGGCATCCCCATGGTGATAAGACCCAGGCTAGAAAGAAAGGGCTAGAAGGGGAAAGAGAAGAGGCCTTCTCTCTCTCTCTCTCTCTTCTCAAGTTTGTCCCTTCCCAAATGTCCTGGTACAGCTCTCTCCATCCTGTTTCCCCCTCCTCCACTGAGCCTGGAAAGGTGCTGTTTGCCATGTGCTTGATTCCCAGGGCAACAGTCCAGGCAGCAGGTGTGTGTGTTGAACAAGGCCATCTCTGGAGCAGAGTGGCTGGAGATGAGCTTTGTTTAAATATTAAATAAGTCAATCATTAATCAAGCCTGGCTTGGTGCCCAGCTACCCACTGTCTCTATTTGGGAGGGCCTGGAGTGGGGCAGGGAGGGCCGTGGGATAGTTTGTGAGGATACTTGCATCTCATGAAGCTGACAAGCAGCTTTTGGGATTGGATTATGCAGCTCAACACAGAATAGGCCAGAGAATCAGCAGAAAGATGTGCTGGATAGCATATAGAGCATAGTACTTGTGAACTGGGCACCAGTGATGTGTACAGAATGTCCAGTTCTACATTTTATACAGGCACTGAAGCAGTGTCCTGTTTCTAGCCAGAAACCTTGGGCACTGCAGTCCTGGCCCAGCCCCACAGCTGGGCTCCTGAAGAAAACAAGACTGTGTGAAGAAGTCTGGGACATGAATTGGGGTAGGGGATGGACTGGAGGGAGACAATCACTGGGTCACTAAAACCATGGTTCCTGAGCCCTCCCTAGGGGAAGGAGGTTGGTCTGGCATCCAAGGTACACATGGAATCACACAGAGTCAGTAGCTGGTGCACATGGCTTCACATACATCAGTTCCATACACACAATTACAAACCCCCATGTACCCAGATCTGCCACAGTTGCACCCACTGCAGTTAGACACTATGCATGCAAGTTGTCCCTTCTCCAGCGCTCTAGTCCTCTCTGCCTTGGTCACCCTCCTCTTGCCCTCCAGCCTCACCAGTCATATGGGTGTCTAGTCCCAGCTCCACCATTCAGCTCTCATCCACGGAGGCTTCCTGTAGTGCTGCATGAAAACCCGAATGGTCAGGCCGATTGAGCACAGCATCAGGATGAGGCAGAGGCTTAGCAGGATCCACTGTCTTTTGGCAACTAGGCGGGGGTCCATGGCTATGCCCAGGAAGTAGGCCTTGGGCTGTGTCTCAGGTGCGCTGGTATCCCGGGAACCTCTGGCCTGGGCGTCCGTGGCCGGAGCATTGGTTCCCTGGGGCAGTGACTTTTTTTCCAGGAAGTATAGCCTGTAGGCCAGCAGTAGGGCTGCCAGGAACATGATAAAGCTGAGAGCCAGCAGCACCCACTGCCCATATTTGGCCTGGTCAGGGTCCAGCTCTAGATTCAGAAATGCCACCTTCTCTGTGTCTTTTTCTGTAGAAGACACGGGAGTCTTACAGAACAGATAAAATGAGGAAGGGAGCCCTGGGGTGCCCCATGGAAATCAGAGTACCTGACTGCCACTGGCCTCCCCCCTCAGCCTCAGGCACCTACCTTCCAAGGCATAGGTGAGGGCATTGCCCTGGAAGGATGGTGAGAAAGAGGAGTAGAAGGGAGAGGAGGGGGAGATGGGCATAGCTAGCGCTCCATCCCCATGGTGCCCAGTGGTGGCTCCATGCAAGGTTCAGGAGAAAAGAAGCCCACCCTGTGCTCAGATGCCAACCTGGCACTCTAACTGAATGCTGTGCAAGGAAGCAACTGAGCCAGTGGCTAGGCCATGGGCCGTGGTCTTGCCAAGGCTGCATCAGGTGCAGATTGGGTCACGTAGGAACAATGCTGTTGTTTGTTGGAGCCAGGTCATAGACAGGCTAAGGGTTAAGGCTGGATTGGGGTGGGGACTGGCCCAGGGAAGGCTAGAGTAGGGCTTGCGGCTATACCAGAGCTGGCGTCAGGGTCAGATTATCAAACCTTCAAAGGTACAGCTGAAGTCTGGCCAGCCCAAGATCTCCCCCTGCCGCACATTCTCGGTGACCAGCCAATTCAGCAGGGGCTTGAAGTAGGTCATGAGGGCCTTTGTAGACATTTGGGTCTGCCCAGTTATCTTCTGCAGGACTTCTGGCCAGGGCTTGCTTGAACCCAGCTTTAGGACATCCCTGGGAGAGTGGATACAGCTGTGAGGCTGTGTGGGAGCATCAGCTGGTGTTGCTGAGATTACCTCAGTGTGCCCAACCCTGCCCTATGGCTCAAGGCATGATCCTGGAGTTCCAGAATCGAGTCCCACATCGGGCTCCCTGCATGGAGTCTGCCTCTCCCTCTACCTGTATCTCTGCCTCTCTGAGTCTCTCATGAATAAATAAATAAAAAATCTTTAAAAAAAAAAGATTCTAGAGAAGTTCAGGAGAAAAGACATCTTCCCATAGAGCTCAGTGCAGTGGATAAAATCACAAGCTCTGAAATGAGACTGACCTGGGTTTGAATCCTGTGGGGCCTCAGGCAAGTGACTTAACCTATCTGAGTCTCAGTTTTCATATTCGTAAAATAGAGATAACAGCACTACTTCCTCGGACTGGCATGATGATTAAATAGACACAATGCTGGGATCATAGTAGGCAGGCAATAAATGTTAGTTGCTTGTTATTGTTATTGCCACTGTGATGATTATTATTCTCCTGGACTCAGATAGGCATAAAGTCTTGAGGCGCTGTTTCCCATAAGGTGCTCTGTGTCAGTAGGGGAGGAGCCACTCCTTTCTGGTCTCACAGGGAGCGTTTGAGAGGATTAGGGAGATCGAGAGCGTGGGATGTGTTCTGTGTACTGCCTGGAGCACTGCACAAATGTCAGCTGTATCTCAAAGTACGCCAGTGTTTGGTGGCAAGGGGACCAGCCTGAGGCTTGGTGGGGGTACAGAATGTGCTGAAGCCAGGGCTCTGGGCTGCTCCCCACCAGAGCCCCCTATGGAGGCAGTGGGGAGGCATTCGTTGATCCTTCTTAATCTGTATCCCCATTTAACCAGGAGAGAGATGGGCTCTAGAGACCCACAAGTCAGACCATGGAGTCTAGACAAACAGGAACAGCTTCAAGATTCAGCAGTGCTACTTATGGGCCTATAACCTCAAGCCATCAACTCATCCCCTCTTAACCTCAGTTTCTCTATCAGTAAAATGGGCCCTATTAATATCCGCCTTTCACTGTGGTGCAGATCAAGCCACATGTTGGTGGTGAAAGAGGGCTTTGTAGCACGCACATATTTGCATGTGTCGCTTCATAACCAGAGGAGAAAGATCGACGGGGAAACTAAAGTTTAGCGGACCCTTGACAGAAACCATGAGGGAAATACATAGTTAAGATCCTAGAGAGGGACACCTGGGTGGCTCAGTGGTTGAGCGTCTGCCTTCAGCTCAGGGCGTGATCCTGGAGTTCCGGGACCAAGTCCCACGTCGGGCTCCCTGCATGGAGCCTGCCTCTCCCTCTGCCTGTATCTCTGCCTGTCTCTCTGGGTCTCTCATGAATAAATAAATAAATAAATAAATAAATAAATAAATAAATAAATCTTTAAAAAAAGATCCTAGAGAAGTTCAGGAGAAAAGTTATCAAGACTAAAAGAAAAACAAAACAAAATCTCACAACTAACTGCTGGTAAGAGGATTTTATCAGATACTGGGTCCTGGGGGCAAGGAAGGATCTGATGGGGGATGAAATTTTCGACCATTGGAAATCATCTACCTATTTGAAACAGTCCTTCAGGCTCGGTGGGACAAGAGGTTTGACTAAAGCCCAGCTCACAGCCAATGTGGCCAGCATGCAAGACTGGCAAAGGTGGCAACTGGTCACTTCCTGGAACCCTCAGCTCCAAGATGCCAGCAACGGGCCCCATGGACAAGGTCAGGCCTACCATGGCTGGCCAGATGAGCCAAGGGCTTTGGGAACTTGGACCAAGTCCACCTCAACTCTCCATTCCCAGCAGAACCAATCCAGAGCAATCACATATAGGAAGATGAGTCAAATTCTAAGATATATTAGGTAAAAGAGCAGCCAAGAATCTTGCCCTCCCTCTTCTCCTCCACAAGTACTCGTCCCCCCACACACACACAACCTATATTCCACTCTGCTGCTGTCTCACTTCCCCAAATCTCACGACATCCCCCTTTCTCAGAGCCCTCTCCTCTGCCCTCTGCTCAGAAGATATCGAGATAGCATTCAAAGTCCTAAACGTGGAACTTGGGGTCTTCCCTGGAATCCAGGGGTTTGATGTCAATGTGTGAGGATGGATGAGCAATGACCAGTGATGACTGGCAGGGCCTCTACATGCCTTGGTGCCAAGTCAGATCCTGTGAGCCTTGTGTGGCCTGGTTTGGTGGGGTGGTGGTAGGAGAGGGGAAAGTGAGGATGACCGAGGTCAAATGTCCCACCAATCAAGTGGTGAAGGCTCAGCATTAAAAGTGAGTCGATGTGTAGAAAACATGTCTGCTATTTCTTGCACGCCTGCTTTTGGGGACAGAGATCCCTCCTTGGTCGCCTGACATGACCTCTTCACCCTCTGCATGTTCACCAAAGCCCTTTCCTACTGCACCTGCTCCTTTCTTGTATTATGGTATTGATTTACCCTGTGGCCCATTGCCCCCTGCTGGACACAGGGTAGGCTGATTGGCATGTGCACAAGTGAATGTTTGCTGAATGAATAAATGATGGGCAGCTAGAGACACGAATGCAGAGAGCAGAGAGGCCCCTCATGTTCCACACATTCAGGAAAGCTCAAACATGGACAGTTGGCTACAATAAACCCCCGTAGTGTGAAAAGATGGAAAAGCAAACAGACTAGGTTGATAATCAGCATGCAAGGTGCAGCCCTCCCTGGGAGCAAAGCCAGGGAGGGGATCAGTCCTGCAACGCCATCTGGCCTAGTGGTTACTGACAAACTGCGTGGTGGAATCACAAATATGCTCATTAAATTCACAAAGGATACCAAATGATGTGGCTATATTAATCCTCTGGGATAGAGGAGTAAAACTCAAGATGATCTTGACCAATTAGGGCAATGGATCTACTGAAATGGGTTGAAAATTAGTGAGGAAAAGACCATGTCAGTGGGTGGGCTCTGCATCTCAGTGGTTGGAGCACTGATTTTAGAGCCAGCAGACCTAGACCTGCTAGGTCTAGCTGCTAGCTGCTCTAGACCGAGATCTAGAGACCTAGATCTAACCTCGGACCAGACCTCTATCCCTTGATTAGTGGAGGCAACAGCATGGATGAGAATGTGTTCTACAGTCCATTTGAGACTCAAAGTCTGATTTTGCATTTGCTAGATGAGTGATGTGCAATCACATTATTTCTCTTAGCTTTAGCTTCATTATTTATGAAATGTGGTTAATCATACCCACTTTGCACGTTATAAGCTGCTAACGTGAGACCTTGTAAGAGCGCTCCTGAGAGAGCCTAGCCTCTACTAGCAAATGCTTCCCACCATCGGGTCAGCCTCCCACCCTTCCATGTTTGCTTCAGGACCAAAACCAACACCACAGAGGCAGGAATGGAAAGGATGGCTGGAGGCAAAGTGCAGGAAAAAAGATTGGGGGTAGGGAGTCAAAGTGGACTACATGCTGACCAGAGCACCCTGAAGGTTGGTGTGAAAGCAACCAGATCAGCCTGGGAGCTGGATGCAGGCATCTCCAAGAAGAGGTGGGAAAAGCAGTATGCACCCAAGGGTGCATCAGATGCTGCTAAGGGTAGGCAAGCTCCTTGAGAGGAAAGGATGAAGGGATTCAGATGAAAGTCTGAAGGCTGAGGCAGGACTCCGGCAGTGGCTTCCCACCTGGGATAGTCTGATTTATTGGTTATGTGCGAGTGTGTCTGTGCATGTGGGTGCACATGTACATATGTGTGTGTATGTGTGGTGGTGACTGTGTGAAGTTTGCATGTGAGTGTGTGCATGTATGTGGGTGTGAGAATGACTTTGTGTATGTGTGTGTGTGTGAGAGAGAGACAGAGAGAGAGAGACAGAGACAGAGAGAGAGAGAGAGAGAGAGAGAGAGTGAGAGAGGGCAGGAGGGGCTAAGCCATTTCTCTTGACCATAAAGGGGCTACACACAAGGAAATGGGCTCCAATTACTGTAGGAGAGACTACAGTATGACACAAAGACAAACTTCCACCAAACTATAAGGTCAATGAGGCTTGCTCAGGGTGCCTAGGGTGGCTTAGGGAGGAGAGGGGTCCAGGGACAGGCTTCCAGCCAGCAGCAGAAGAGTTGAGAACAAGTGAGGAAGGAAAGCACTCACTCCAGGAGCTTCCCAGCCTTCTTGGAGTTATAGATGTCACACCGGTGCAGTGGCCCTATATGGCCTGAGGCCTTGCACAAAGACTCGTGGAACTGGAACTGGAGCACGAGGCTGAGGAAGTACCTGGGTAGAGAAATGTGAGGGCAGGCTGGGGAGCCGGTGTCAGGGGTGGGAAGCCCAGAGCCATTTGGAGCCTGGCAACTCCCACATGCAGTGGTCCGAGGGCTCCTCTAGGGCCCAGTCTTGCTGGGCAGAGGCTCCTCTGGCAAGGTCCCACCTTAGCCTGGCCTGAGAATACTGCAGGGGCTCTCCTTCTTAGCCTTCTGAAGCAGCCCTTGCCTCCTTCTCTCCTGCCCTCCTCTTGGGGACAGCAGGGGTGCTTTAGAATATTCCCAACATTTCAGCCCTCCATGTGGGACCTGATCTAAAAGCCCAAATTATCCCAGGGTGTGGCCCTCAGGAGGCTCTTCAACCCAATGGAAGAGATGGGGGAGGGGGGACAGGGAGACCTTTGGATCTAGGGCCTTCCTGGAAATCCTCAGCCTGATTCCTAGGCCTCCAACCCCCAACTCCCAGAGCTGGTTCTGCTGGCAGGGCCCAGACTGTTACCGTAGGTAGGGCACACTGGCAGAGATGTGGAACTTGGCACCAGGATCAAAGTCCTCCTCTGTCCGAGGGATGGGGGGGCACAGGCCCTGGTACTTCAACCTGCCAGGGAGAATAGGATGCTAGTACCACCCAGCTGGGTTCTCAGAGCCTTACCCATCGACGTATTTGCACAGCCATCTAACTGGACTCGGTGGGCACAGGACACTTAATGCATTTTTAGAGATTAAATGAGTTAAAAACACATGGGATTGGGAATCAGAATCAAATAATAACAGTAGTTAACACTGACTTCCTCTGTGGAGGAACCATGTTAAGACACTGACAGCCTTGGTTCTCAGGACATCGGAGGGAAGGGGCTGGGCAAGGTCTTGCTTCTAATGCTAACAATGGAGATGGTTACAGACCAATCAACAAGGCATCTGACAAGAAGGGCCAAGGAGAAACAGAATAGCATCTCTGTGGCATAGCACTGTTATTATTCCCATTTTACGGATGAGGAGACCAATGTTTAGAGGTCAAGGAACTGGTGGGAGGTCGTAGAACTAGTCACTGGCAGATCGCATTAACTTTCAAGTTCAGGTCTGGCTTTGTACTTCTGTGCTGTGTGACTGTGCAAAAGTTAATGATTGTCACTGATCCCTGTTGAGAAATGTTGTCTATAAATGGGATAAAATGGTCCATTTTGGGGGAGGAGACAAAACCTATGAAAGGGTCTCATCGTTTGATTGTTGGTGCACTGGTTGCCTCCAAGCCATCCTCTGGGGCTGCCAGACAGTCAGAAGGTGGCTCCCAGTTGACAGAGCCTTTCTTGTTCAGGTCCAGGAAGTTGCCACCTCTGTCCCTTAGGCCCTGGCTTCCATCATTGATAGTGGTGGGTGCCATTGACCCTGGAGAAAAGGGGCCCCCGCAGGTACCCCAGATGGCTGGTAGGGTTGCCCTTAGAAGGGTACAAAGTCAAGACTCGGCCAACTTCACTAGTGAGGACTGGACTTGAATTTGGGGTGGGCGTAGGAGGATAAGTAGATAGAGAAAGGAGCACCCAGCTTTGCTACCCTGGGTCGCTGTGTGACCATGGGCTGGTCACACATTCTTCTGTGAATGACCACGGGATGTTGCACAGGTTCAAAGAAATGTAAAGTCCTCGTGCAGAGCTCGCAGCCCCTTCACAGCCACTCCAGACCATGCTGAGACTGGAACAGGTCAGTCTGAGTGAGGCCTGGTGGAGGTGGAACGCCCTGGCCATGGGCACTCATTATCCCATCAGACAGCCAGTGGTTGGTGAGGAAATGCAACACAGATGCCCCTCACTCAAGAGTGGTGCTCCCTGACTGCTGGTGGGCTCTTTTGGCAGCCAGTTCTCACCTTGGACATGCCTGAGGTTGCTAAACCAGAGGCAGTTGTGCATGTGTGTTGGGGCAGCAGGAAAAGGGACGGTGGGCCTGCCTCTCTCCCATGGGGACTCCCTATGGAAGGGAAAGAGCTCAGCCGCCATGCTCCTGCTAGCCCCACTAGGAAGGGAATAGGAAGGGAGAGGAGGAGCAGGTGGGCCTCCCCGGTGGTCAATGTTTTGTTCTTGGAAGAGCCCAGGTGCACCCTCATGTGAGCTTCCCAGCCACCCAGGAGCAGACAGGGCCACTTCTAGGGACCCTAGAGAGGTGAAGAGGTCTGCTCAGTGCTGGTGCCAGATGCAGCACGAGGCCTCATAATTGCCCATGCTGGCCCTATCCACTGTAGGGCGCTTTTATCTGGTGACAGCAAACAGCCAACACTACCCCCAATGGTCCCCAAGTCACCAGTGTGACACACCTAACACTGCCCTCCAAGGAGAGGCAACAGCATCCTACAGCAAATGGGCAGTGTCCTTAAAGCTGCCCGGAAAGCCTCACCCACCAGGGATAGGAGGGGGCGGAGAGGGCCAGGCAGCCGTCCTCCCCACCTGAGGTTCCACCACTCCTGGTTGTAGACATCCTTCTGGATGGTGCCATCAAAGACCTTCCAGCGGAACAGGTCCATCAGGTAGGAGAAAGGGATGAAGGGGATCTTCTCCAGGGCAACGCTCATCAGGAAATTGACCTCCTCCTCTGGGGAAGGTGGGGCAGTCAGGGGGTGGCTCCTGGCTCTCCCTCCCTTTAGGCTTGCCCAGAGGGCCGGAGCTGCAGCCTCAGGCTTGGTTGCCCTGCTACGGTCCTCTTGGTTCCCGTCACCTGAGTCTTGGTGCTGGTGACTGAGAAGACCTCTGTTGAGCAGGTGCTTGTGGGAGGAGGCTGAGAGGGTGATCACTGACCCCACAGCCTCTTCAAAGGCTGGGTTGGCGCCTGCGCGGAAAATCACCGAGAGGTTCCTGTACTGCAGGAAGTACTGGATATGGCCCATCTGGTGGAAGATGGAGAGCAGGTCTTCTACGGTCACCTCGGTGCACTTCTTTATCCTAGGGTTAAAGGGTAGGGGTCAAGGAGCATGGGGAGGCCCTGAGAGAAGGGGAGGTCTCTCCATTTGGACTCCATTAAGGGACTGGTGTAGTTGGGCTGGAGACCACCGAGGCCTTGGGTGCTGTCCCTTCTCACTCCAGGTCCCCTTCACCCATGTGCCAGCTTGCATCCCCCTACGCTGCCTGGCTCCAGTCCTGCTCACACCCCTCCTTACACACCTCCCAAGACAGGCAGACAGAGGGAGAGCAGATGGAGTAGAAGAAGAGTGAGAGTGGGGCAGGAGAGTGGTGCTGGTGCAGGGTGAGACCTGAAGTCCCTGCCGTTGTAAAAGTCCCAGGCAGAGGCATGGCATTCCACCTCCCGCCCGTCGGCTGGCCTTTCCATCATCGAGTTTTTCCAGAAGCTGGGAGGGGTGGAAAGCATCCCCAGGGAGGTGAAGAACTTTTCAGCCTCTTCGAACATTTTTGAGGGCTTCCAGTGCTGTGGGGAAGAGTGGGTACATGGGGCCCTGCCCGGGAGTGCAGAGCAGGCAGGGGCAGACGGAGGCAGTGTACTAACCTGGCTTTTCATGATCTTCGTGATATCCTCAGGGGGTTTCTTCGGGAAGGGCAGGACCAGGTCTAAGATGTTGACCCAGGACTGAGCCCACATGTTCCCTGGAAGGAGAGTGGAGGGGCTCAGGGGAGGCAGGAGACGGTCTCTCCCTTTACCAACTGCCAGCTGGGAGGCAGACTCCGCCCAGCCCACCCTGCCACCAGCTGGGGCTTTACCCAGAAGGTGGGCAGGGATGGGCCCCCTTGGGTCGATGAGCTCGGGCCCGTAGTGGCGATGTAAGGCCCGGCGCACGTAGGCGTGGAGGTTCAGGTAGAGTGGCTGCAGCTCCTGGTAAAGCTGCTCCAGATCGTCTTCTAGCGTTTCAGACTCATACTTGGACCGCCACAAGGCCCCCATGTCTTTGTAACCTAGGGCAGGAGAGAGGCACTCACCACCCACCCTCCCTTCAGCCCTGGTCTGGCAGGCAGGAGACGCAGGCACTTTCTGGGGGAAGGCACTTGACCTCCCTCCTCCTCAGGGTCTTCATCTGCCAAATGGGCAGTGTGCCTCCCAAGGTCACCGTTCAGATTGGATGAGATCAGGGGTGGAAAAGCACTTAGCAAAGTACACCCTCGGTGCTCCTCACTGTGCCTGGTTGTATAGGACCCAGGTAAGGCCTGGGTCCTCATACACACCTTGAGCCCCACCCGTCCAAGCCCTAAGACCACTGGACTCCTTTCCAATCCTCCCAAAGACTGGCTCCTCCCATCGTGGGGCCTAGGAGGCTCTTTCACTTCTTGTCTGCCTTCTTTCAAGCCTTGGGGAAGTGTCTAGAGGCCTCCCCTTCTCCTCTCTCAGCATTTGTCCAGAGATGTGCATTTGCACAAATCTTGTCTGTCAGACGATAAGCCCTACCTAGGAGGGCAAGGTATCTTTTCTGTCTTTTCACTTATGTTTCCTTAGAACCTCTCCAGGACCTGGGACACAGCAGGTGCTCAAGCAATGTTTGCAGACCAATGGTGAATGAGCCACCTTTGCTTCTCCCAGCTGCAGGGCTCAGGGTCCCCATCTCCAGGTCCTACTACTGCCTTGACCCCCTGCAGACTCTGCTTTGCCCATCCACCAAGGCCTGTGCTGTGTGCCATCTGTACAGGCTGGGCTGGATGGGTTGGTGGCAGGGGTTTGGGGAGTTTGGGGGGATGGTGGTAGTGTAAGGGCCTCACCGTTGAGGTTAGCAGCCTTGTTGCTGAGCTGCACATAGCGCTCAAAGGTGATACGGAGCTGACGACCCACAGCATCCCGCCAGCCCTGCCAGGCCCACAGCAACTCCTTCTGGTCACGGGAGGTAGCCATGACTTCTTGGAGGTCTGTGCCCAGAAAAGCCAAGGTAGGACCCACCCACTTCTGCTTGTCTTCCGCCCTTACCTGCCTAAAGCAGCCCGCCCACCCCCACTCTCCAACAAGTGAGTGCGATTGGGGCAGGGAGGCAATGGGAGTCGGGGTAGGCTCGAGGACGGGGCTGCTGCCAGAGACTTTGCAGTTGGACAGGGGACTGGGCTTGGGTGCTCACCAGGCTCCAGGGGCATGCAGGGTCCCTCATTCAGGCACACCTGGGCCATGCTGTATGTCGTCTCCATGTAGGCCAGAAGCTGATTGTACTGCGGGAGCAGGTGTCACCTAGGGCAGGCCTGTGCCCTGGGGCCCACCCCCAGTGCTAGCCCCACCAGCTGGGAGGGGCAGGCCTGAGGCAGCTTCCCACCAGCCTCTGTTCCTCTCCTCCCCCAGAGGAAGCTCTGGCCCTGCCTGCCAACCTCCCTCTGCCCAGACACCCTGGCTTCTCTCCCAGCCAGCCCACCCACCCCTGGGGTGGGGAGCATGTGCCTGGAGACCTGGGGGCTCCGTCCATCACCTCCCGGAGCTCGTCCTGGGGCAGGGCCGCCTTGCCTATGTTCAGCAGCTTACTCAGCAGGCGCTTCACTTCCGGGTCCTGGAACCTGGAGGTCTTAAACAGGCGGGCCCGAGTGCCAAAGTACAGCATGTGCTTGGATCTCTCTGAGTCCTTGTGCAGCTGGAATGAGGGTCGCTGTACTTACCATGTGAAGGTGGTGGAGGGAGAAAGGGCCCACATCGAGCTCCAGGGTCACGCCCCGCCCCCCCCAAGCCTCCTTTGAGGGTTCAGAATCACTGAAGATTTGCTACAAGAAGGGAAGGAGTCTGCGTCCTTAAAAGCAAGGAGATGATATTTATGAGGGGAAAGAAACATGAGATTCTTGCTCAGAGAGCTTTGGGGGCCACCAAGAGGCCCAGAGCTTGCAGCCTGCTTTGACATGTACTTTAGGGATTCCCTCTTTCCTCTAGGTCTGGACAGGGGCAGAAGATGTGGACCCCCCCCCCCCAAGATCCTCGAGAAGAGCAAGGAAGAAGGGGCTGGAATTGAAGTGGTACCACACCATCTCCTCCCGATTTTTCTTGGTGATGTTGGTGACATAGTTCCAGGTGGCCTCCATGAACTGGCTCCACACAATTTGGGCAGTTTGGTCATAAAACTGCAGGAAGGACTTTGCCACGGTCTCATTGTAGAACCTGCCTGTGGAGAAGGAGGTGGACATGATGTCCTGGGAGGAGCCTGCCCCCGACTGGTCCCCTTGTCTGCTCCCATATTTCTTCAGGTCTCAGCCCCACCTAAGCTCTGATGACCTTGGTACTGAGCCATGGCAAGAGCTGCCCATAACAGAAGAGAACAAGTAGGAAAGGTCCATGGCAAGTCCATCTTGTGCCCATGACCAAGAGAACAGCAGAGCTGAGTGAGGCTATGGGCCAATCAAGGTCCAGCTCCATATTGTGACATCAGGGCCTGAAGGCTTAGCCATGGAATGTCAGAACTGGAAAACCCCCACCCACCTTCTGGTCCAGCTGTTCCCATTTTACAGGTGAGGAGACTGAGGTCAAGTCATGTGACCGGGTTCACACAGCTAGTCACAGAACCAAGGAGAGAACCATGGCTCTTAACTTTTAAGCCAAAGCTTCTTCTAGTCTATTTGGTCACCTTTCCTTGGTGACCACCCTTGGACCTTAGCCAGGGATTGAGGAGACCCTCCACAGGCTGGTCTCTGAGAAGGTAATGATGATAGGATGATAGATGAATGGATGAGTGGATGGATAGATGTATGGAAGTGACATCTCTGGGTCTCTGGAATCCAGCAGCACAGCTGTCTCTCCCTGTTCTTCTGACTTGACCTCCTATGTTTTCATTTTTGGCCTCCTTCTCTCTTACGGTATGTGTAATCTCTCCTGGGGCAACGCAGGACCCTTCCTCCCTTCCCCTGGTCCTTATATCTGTTTCCCCAGGGATAGCGCGATGCTATGAGTTTGTAGTCCAGCGGAAGCACAGAAGGCAGAGGGCTGTGAGGGCTGTGGGAGAATGTGTGACTGGTACCTTCCATTTGGGATGCATGTCCCAAAGTACCTGAGCCTGGTTTGAGCACCAGCTGGCAGGACCCCGGCTCTCTGCTAGCCTTTGGTGACTCACCACTAGCCTGACACACTTAGTTTGGGGGAGATGAGCCCATCTATCTCACTTTGGGATTTCTTCCTCATATTCACTTTCTTCCACACTCACATGCCCTCCACTCTCTAGTCTTATTACTCCCCCTGCTTGACCCAGGTGCACCCACAACCCCCCAGATGCTTCACCTCTGCACATGAGCTGACATCATTACCAGAGAAACTGATCAACTAAGTCTCCAAATATGATGCTATGATCAAAATTATTTAAGATACAAAGAAAGAAAAAAATCAGTGACACTTCCAGTTAAGGTGGGCAACTGAGGTCTGCTTCAAGCATATAGAAATGCTTGATAAAATATAGTATTTTGTTGTTGTTAACTATAGTCATCATGCTGTACGTTACATTCCCCAGGACTTATTTAGATCATAACCAGAAGTTTACGCCTCAGTTTTTTGTGTATACGTATACCACCTTTACATTATCATTTACCCGTCATTACACAAAGGTTGTTTCCATGTCTTGGTTATTGTAAATTATGTTGAATGAATGAATATGGGGTGCAGAAATCTTTTCAAGACAGTGATTTCATTTTCTTTGTATAAATACCCAGATGTTGAAATTGCTGTGATCCAATAGTGGTTCTATTTTTGACTCTTTGAGGAATCTCCATGCCATTTCCTATAGTGGCTGCCAATTTACATTCCCACTAACAGTGCACTAGAGTACCCTTTCTCTATGTCCTTGCCAGAACTTGTTATTTCTTATCCTTTTGATAATGGCCATTCTACCAGGCATGAGGTGCTATCTAATTGTGGCTTTGATTTGCATTTCCCTGATGATTCGTGATATCGGGCACCATTTCGTGTACTTGTTGGCCATCTGTGTGTTCTTTGGAAAAATGTCTACCCAGTCCCTCTGCTCATTTTTTAATTGGATTGTTTGCTTGTTTTGAGTTGTATGAGTTCTTTATATATTTTAGACATTAATCCCTTATTAGATACATGATTTGCAAATTTTACTCCCACCCTGTAGGTTGCCTTTTTTCATTTTGTTGATGGTTGACTTTGTTGTGTTAAAGCCTTTTACTTTGATGTCATTCCACCTGTTGATTTTTACTTTTGTTGTCTCTGTTTCTAGTGGCAAATCCAAAAAATCGTTGCCAAGACCAATGTCTAGGAGCTTACAACCTATGTTATCTCCTAGGAGTTCTATGCTTTCTGGCCTTATGTTCATGTCTTAAATCCATTTTCAGTTGATTTTTTTGGTATGGTATAAAATAGGGATCCAGTTTCATTCTTTTGCATGTGGCTATACAGCTTCCCCAACACCATTTATTGAAAAAACTATCCTTTCCCCATCATATGTTCTTGACGTCCTAAATAGATTGACCATATATGGGTGGGTTTATTTCTGGGCTCTCTATTCTGGTTTCATTGATCTATGTGTCTGTTTTTATGCTGATATCACACTGTTGTGATTACTATGACTTTGGAGGGTAGTTTGAAAACAGGAAGGGTGACACCTCCAACTTTATTCTTCTTTCTCAAGATTGCTTTGGCTATTTGAGGTTAAAAAGTAGTGCTTTTTTAAAAAAATTATATCTTATTTAAATCACTTATTTGAGAGAGAGGAAGAGAGAGAAAACACAGAGGAAGAATGAGAGCCAAAATAAGAGCCGAACTAAGTGTGTCAGGCTAGTGGTGAGTCACCAAAGGCTAGCAGAGAGCCGGGGTCCTGCCAGCTGGTGCTCAAACCAGGCTCAGGTACTTTGGGACATGCATCCCGAATGGAAGAAATGACTCCCTGCTGAGAAACAGACTCCCTGCTGAGCAGAGAGCCCCACACGAGGCTTGATCCTAGGACCCTGAGATCACAACCCAAGCTGAAGGCAGACACCTAACTGACTGAGCCACTCAGGTGCCCCAAAATGTGCTTTTTAAAATGCAAAATACGGGTTGAGATGCAAAGCAAGAAAGAGAACTCTTCAGATGCTGAGGAGACAGAGAGGGTTCAGGTAGCAGTGAGTGGGGGCCCTGCAAGAAGCAATCATAAAACTGACCCTGGAGGGGAACCCTGGGTGGCTCAGTGGTCTAGTGCCTGCCTTCCGCCCGGGGCCTGATCCTGGAGGCCTAGGATCGAGTCCCACGTCGGGCTCCCTGCATGGAGCCTGCTTCTCCCTCTGCCTGTGTCTCTGCCTCTCTCGCTCTCTCTGTGTGTCTCTCATGAATAAGTAAATAAAATCTTTAGGAAAAAAAAAAACTGACCCTGGGGACATGTTCACAACACATGCCACATGCTGTGTGCATGAGACCTTGCAGAAGAATATTGCCACTGGAGATGGCTCATAGGTCAGAACTACAAAGTACAAGTGAGGCTCAATAGTGACCGACCACCAGTACCCTCTGATCACTTTCCCAGGTGCTAGGGACCCTTTAAGAGCTTTTAGTATATGGATTCTCATGAAAAATAGATGAGGTAAGTACCGTGATCAACTTTACAGTTGAGGAAACTGAGGCACAGAGAGTTTGAGAAACTTTCTCACCATCACACAGCTTGCAAATAGTGGAGGTGGGACTCAAGTCCACATGCTCTGTCTCCAGAGCCTGTGCTAGATGACAGACACATCTCAGGAAGGACGAGTCTTAGAGCAATCTGAAAGAGACTTGAAATATAGATCTTTATACCATATGGAAAGATGAAATGAAACTGGATTAAAGACCTAAACAGAAGAGCTAAGATCATGAAACTCTTTGAAGAAATCATATGGGAAAATATTCCTAGCATTAGATTTGGCAGTGCCATCTTGGATAGGACACCAGAAGCACAGACAAAAATGACAACCAAAATTGGACTGGACTTCATCAATTTTAAAAACCTTTGCACATCAAAGGATGCTAACAACGGAGCACAAAGGCAACTCACAGAATGGGAGAAGACATTCGTAAATCACATATCTGGTAAGTGATTACTATCTGGAAAATATAAAGAACTCCCAAATGCAACAATGAAAAAAAATGAACAACTCAATTCAATGGTGGGAGAAGGACTTGAATAGACATCTCTCTAAAGATGAGACATAAATGGATAATAAGCACTTGGAAAGATGCTCAGTATCATTAATTATTAGGGAGATGCAAATCAAAACCATGAGATATCACTAGGATGATTATTACCAAACCACCCAGAAAACCTCACCTGTTGGCAAATATGTGAAAAAACTGGGAGCCCTTGCACATTGCTGCTGGGAATGTATAATAGTGCAGCCACCATGAAAAGAAGTACAGTGGTTCCTCACAAAATTATAGAATTACCATATGATCTGGCAACTCCAATTTGGGGCACATATTCAAAAGAATTGAAAGCAAGGACCTGAACAGATAGGTAGAGATGGTTGCAGGACAATATGAATGTACTCAATGCCACTGAACTGCACGCTTAAAAATGGTTAAAATGGGGACACCTAGGTGGCTCAGAGGTTGAGCATCTGTCTTTGGCTCAGGGCATCATCCCAGGGCATGACTCCAGGATGGAGTCCCACATCAGGCTCCCTGCAGAGAACCCGCTTCTCCCTCTGCCTGTGTCTCTGCCTCTCTTTGTGTGTCTCTCATGAATAAATAAAATCTTTTTAAAAAATGGTTAAAATGGTATATTGTATGGTATGTACATTTTACCACACCTTAAAAAAAATACAGATCTTAAAGTGATAAAAAGGAATAAAACCCATGAAGCAAGAATAGGCTTTTGTGAACACACAGGAGATTTGAAAGAGAAATGTGAAAATGAAAAATAGAGTTATTAAATTGGAACAGTGAAAATCCCTATGGACAGGTAGAGCAGCAGACTGAAATGCAGAACTGGGGCCTGTGAAGACATGACTGGGGAATCTCCTGGAACTCAGGACAGAGAAGGAGATGAGAACCATGAGCAAGGGGGTGCCTGGACGGCTCAGTCAGTTAAGTGTCTGCCTGGGGCTCAGGTCATGATCTCAGAGTCCTGGGATTGAGTCCCATCATGCTCCCTGCTCAGCCAGTAAGTCGGCTTCTCCCTCTTCCTCTGCCCCTCCCCTGCTTGTGCTCTCTCTCTCTCTTTCTCTCCCTCTGTTAAATAAATAAATAAATAAATAAATAAATAAATAAATAAATAAATAAATAAAGTCTTTTTAAAAAATCATGAGAGGGTTTGTAAGAACTGTTTTATAGGCTCAGAAAATGGAGTTCTCTGGGTCACATAAGCAGTAAGTACAGAGATAAGATTTGACTCAGGCCTAATCCAAAGCCACCAGATATACTAATGTTAGAGCCAGGGTGGAACAAAAGGGGGTTTGAGAGATCAGAGGCACCGTCCAGCCACCAGACCTACCTTTCGTCCTCATAGGTAAGAGCTGGTCACTAAGGAGAGATCGACTGTCAGACATCAGTAGAGGCACCACAGGGAAGGCCTCAGATTTTAGGGTCACTGGAAGAAGATGCCAGAATGGTCTCTCTTTCTACTGCCACTCCCTCCCCTTCCTCTGCCTTCTTCCAGGTAGACCCAGTCTTATCCTCCTCACTTGAGGAGGCAGCAACAGGAATCTAAGCAATTTTAATATTTCAAAAGACTGAGGGGATAAGGCTGATCAGGATGTCCCAATGTTAAATTTCTTTGCCCTCCTCAGTCTGTGGCTCAGACCTTTGGGTGTTGAATGCTGGTGCCCTCATGCTATTCTAACAGCTGTGACAGGCAGTATAAACCCCTATGTTCACAAGGATAGGAAACCGGGTGTTGTGACAATGACCTTTGTCTAGCAGACAAGGAGCTTTTGAAACATCAGGCTGGGAAGGAGAGTAATTAAAAAGTCATTGGTAGTAGAAGGCTTGGAACTATTTAGAGGAGATGTTTATAAATTCCATTGTCCTAAGTATTCATAAACTTCTCCCCGACTGCATATCCAAAATACCGCAGCTCCACATCCTGCTCCATGGACTAGGCCTGTACAACCTAGTCTATGTGCAACACACACACAGGCGCGCGTGCACATGTACACAAAGACACATAAATACACCCAGAGACGAACACACAGGGCAGCTGGAGATGATTGCGGGGTTAAAAAACCCTGAGGACTAAAGGATATTAGGGGACAGTTATTGAGGCTTGGCCTGGCTGGGGTCAAGGCATCAGCAAAGCTAGGCACAGGCTCTCAGCCCAGGGTCCTAACAGAGGGGGCCAGGCTTACAGTGGAAGCCCCTGGCCCTGGCAAACTGCCAAACGCCATTTGGTCAGGTTCTAGACTTGGCATTTATTTATTTTTAAAGAGACTTTGAGAGAGAGTGAGAGCATGAGCAGGGGGAGGGACAGAGGGAGAAGCAGACTCCCGACTGAGCAGGGAGCCCAATGTGGGGCTCGATCCCAGGACCCCTGGGATCATGACCTGAGCCAAAGGCAGATGCCTAACCCCCTGAGCTACCCAAGGTGTCCCAAGACTCAGCATTTAAATATCGGGAAATAGATTGTATGTTAACTAGAAAAAGGATAAATAACTGTGAATATACTATAATCTCATTTAAAACATGTGCTGAGAAAAAACAGTGGGAAGATAGACACCAAAACTGTCAATGGTGAATATCTCTTGGGGTTTATATAAAGGGCTTTTATTTTCTTCATAGTTTGTTTTCTCATTTTTCTATAATAAAGATGTAGATTGAAGTTATGAAAGTGTCCCTCGAAATTCTACTTCCTCCAGCCCACGTTGGTTTCTCGAGGGAAGGCTCAGGGCGAGTGTGTGAGTTCGGGGGAAGGGCAGGGGCAGCCTCTGGCAGTGACTCCCTGCGTGAGCACTAGCCCTGCCAGCTTTGGGGCCCTCTCCAGCTGAGGTGAAGGGATCTGGCCCTGGAGCCCACGGGCAATACTCAGGGAACGCTGTCTCGTGACACAAGGAGACACGGCGCTGGTGCAGGCAGGAGCCTGAGGTGTGTAAGGGAACCGTTCCACACCCTCCGTGAGTCGGACACATGCAAGGCTTCTCCCCCAGGCAACCAGAGGACAGCCGGGAGCCTTCCATATTCAGGACCTGCCATTTTATGGGAACAGCTGGGGCAGGGCTCCTGAAGCTCGTGGAAATGGAAGGCCGGAAACCCAGAATGTCTGCTCCCCCTTTGCTTCCCAGAGTCCTCCTGGGCGGGTGCCGAGGCTGGCAGGGGCCGCCTGCCATGGCAGGACATTGGCCGGCTGCCTGGGCTAGAGGTGGGCGCTGGGGCCAGCGCTCCGGGGCATTTTCCCAGGCTCTTCTTGGAGGATGATGAAGACGCCCAGTGAAGTGACCCACTTGACTGCCCGGAGGCGGAGAGCATCCCTGTCCCTGTCCCTGGCTTCCCCACGAGGGACACAGACTCAGATGGGGGAGGCAGGTCCTTTAATTGTATTCGCAGAGAGACTGGGAGGGGGCTCCATGTTAGGTGGCCTGCTGCCCGGGGACTCGGGGGCAGGGGCCACGGGGGTTTGTGGTCCGGAGGGCGGATCGTCAGCACAGGATTCGAGGCGTGGTGAGGAGGGACGGGGTGACAGGAGGCGGGCGCGCTGGGGTGAGCCGTGAGAGGAGTGGTGGGTCCTCAGCCCACGGCCCCGAGCCCCCGGTCGGGTCTCTCGGTGGCGGACGCTCCCCGGCAGGCCCGGCCCGGTCATCGGTCATCTCAGGAGTGTCTCAGCTCCACCTCGGAGCCAAACTGGGGCCCTCGGTGGGGCCGGCGGAGGCTGTGGTGGCGGATGCTGAAGAGCCGCTGGGTGAGGCCCAAGGTGGCCACCAGCAGGGCGACGCCCAGGAAGAGCAGCACCCACTGGCCCACGCGGGCCTGCTGCTCCTCCAGATCGAGGCCCAGGAAGTTGACGCGGCCGGTGCCCGGTAAGGGGCCTTCCGAGCGAGCTGGGCAGGAGAAGCAAGGGGGGCAGACGGTGGGCCGGCGGCAGGCGGCCGAGGCGGCCAGGGCTCCCTAGGCTGGCTTCCCTGTCCTCGCTCTGGGACTGCAGCCCGCCTCAACGGGGGAGGGCCCGGCCCGGGGGGGGGGGGAGTACCAGAGTTTGGCGTCCAGTTGTACTGAGGCCAGCCCAGCTTCTCCCCGTGCCGCCCGTTCTCAGTGAGCAGCCAGTCCAGCAGCGGCTTGAAGTAGTTCATCATGGCTGATGCAGACATGTTGGACTGGCCCGTGATCAGCTTCATGGCTTCCGGCCACGGCTTACTGAAGCCCAGTTTCATGGCATCCCTGGGGGGAGCACCAAAGAAGGAAACCGAGTCAGAAGGACAGGTGGAGAGGCTCACTGCTCCTGGCCCAGCCTAATTCCCACCCGCCATCCCCCCCTTCATAGCCTAAACCTCCTTTGGGATTGGGAGGGCAGGGGTGGGTCTGGGGGTGGGAGCGGGGGTAGGGGAGGGATGACTGGGGCCCAAAGGCTCTAGTTTCCTACTGGGATGCCACATGCAGGCCTGGCACAGGCTCCACCTGGGATCCCCAGTCCAGGCACCAAACTGGTGGGTGTTTCCAGAAGAGCCCCACCGGGTTCCTCAAAGCTGAGGAGTTAGAGGGTGGGGAATGGTCAGAAGAAAGGCAGAGAAGACTCACTCCAGGCGCTTCCCTGCCTCCTTAGATTGGTAGATGTCACATGTGTGCAAGGGGCCCTTATGGCCAGCTGCCTGACACAGAGCCTCATGGAATTGGAACTGAATGACAAAGCCAACAAAGTACCTGGAGCAGAGGGAAGCATGGGGTGAGGTGGGGGTGGTTGAGGACCCGAGCCCCTGACCCCTGGCCGCCCCTCATCTTCCACTGCAGCCAGCATGTCAGGGTGAGTTCACCCTCGGGTCTTCAGGATCATCAAGGCTCCCCATCTCCATGCCTCCCACCCGAGAGGCTCCCTTTACATCCCAGGAGGACCTGTTCTGAGGGCCTCTGGGATCACTCATAGGTGAGGAGGGTCAGGGCAGAGCCCTTCAATGATTTGGCAGATTGCTTCCAAGGCAGTGAGGTCTTGATTCCTGGGGTCGATGTAAGTAGAGGCCAGGTGTTGCCTCAAGGGTCACCTGCATTCATCCCAAACAGCAGGGATTCCCTGGTAGAAATCTGCCAGTCAAGTCCAGAGCAACCTCTCTACCCTGGGTTCAGAATGTCCCAAACCACCAGGGCAGGCCTCCCACTTTGAATGCTGGGCACAAGCCATGTGCCACTGACTTTCCTGGCATTTCTTAAAAGTGCTTTGCCAAGGTTGCTGGTCAGAATTTGGAATGTGTCTCCTTTGCCCACGCTGCCTAGAGAATCATCTTCAACTGGCTTCCATGTGAAAGCTAATGCTGGCTTGGGAGCTGGGAAGCCAGCAGAAAAGGCAGGTGCTCCTTACAGGTCATACTCGTCCACTGCCCAGGTTGGGCCTGTTCTGAGATGCCCTTGGGGCCCCTTGGTCCTAATGTTCTCTGGAACATCTCAGCAGGCTTTCTCTCCCTTCCTGGACTCTGGGAGCACAATTCACCCACCCTACAGTTGTTTCTTGACTATATGCTGACATCATGTCAGATGCTAAGGTGGAAAGGTGGGCACAGTGATCACAAGCCCTCCCTCACTGGGCTTCCATGGAATAGAGGTGGCAAGGGCTAGAGGTGGCTACAGCCCTCCTGGGGCAGCCCTCACCACCCTCTGCTTTGCCTCACAGGTGGCCTCAGCCTACCTGCAGCTCAGAGACACCTGGCCCCTCCCCTTGAGGTCTCTCCAGACTCTTCCCTCCCAGGGAGGGCCCCAGATCCAACTGGGTCTCTAACCCTTGCTTTACTATATAGACATTCTTCCAGGTACAACTCAAATGATATCATGGGCAATATGTTGAATATATAGTAAAGGAATAACAATCTTGTTTAAAAACAAAGCAGTGCTTAGGTCATGATCTAGCCAAAGTTATGGGTCACAGTTAATAATGTTAACTATCCAACCAAGGTCTTGTAACCATTAGCCAATTATAATAGTTTCTGTGTTCAACTCCTGGAGGGGGAGGCTCTCATCACATCAAAAGTGTGAAACAAGAGTGAACGGAACCTTAGTTGCAGGTGAGTGGCCTCAGCACAGCGTGCCACTCAGCCAGGTCCCCCAGGTCACTGGACAGAGAGCCCCCGACAGGGCAGTGATGGCACTTTGAATACAGAATGACCTCTTCCCTTCCCCTTTACCTGATATAAGGCACACTTGAAGGAACATGGAACTTGGCCCCTGGGTCAAAGTCCCCTTGAGAACGGGCCACTGGGGGGCAGAGGCCCTGGTACTTCAGCCTGCCAAGGGGAAAGGAACATTGAAGGGAGGGTTTGGGGAGAATCAAGTCAGGGAGAGTTGGTGTTTTTTAAGTAAAGGGTAGTCCTTGCCCCTGGAGCTACACAGAACACCCCAGACTCTGGTATGTTGTGCCTCTCTGCACAATCACCCCCTGTGCACCTCATCACTTACATACATACACACACACACACACACACACAGACATGCACTACCTGTACAGACACAGTGACCTGAACACTCACACATGCAGACACCCATGGAGACACCCTCCACCCCAGGCCCCCACACGAGCATTCTAGCACCTGAGGTTCCACCACTCCTGGTTGTAGTTCTCCTTGGCGATGCTTCCATCAAATACCCTCCAGCGCCACTGGTCAACCAGGTAGCTGAAGGGCACAAAGGCTATCTTGTCAAGCGCCATCTTCATTAGAAAATTGATGTCTTGCTCTGCAGAGGGAAGGGACGCTGGTCATCAGATCTCCAGCCATCTCACAGCGGCTCAGCCAGGACAGGTATGCAGCGGGTGGAGAGTGCAGGAGCGGGCTATATCCCCCTGGGTCTAGCAACCTGCCTCTTGGGCTGGTATGTGGGTTCCATCCTCCCGGCTCACCCTGCTGGTGGCATCCTTGTTCTCCGTTGTTCTGTCTCAGCCTCTGTCTATGAGCCATCGAGTGTCCTCTCCCTGCTTCCCAAGCGCACTGCCCCCTCTCAGCCCCTCTGCCCACCAGGACCTCCCGTTCCTGTCTCACCGTAGCCACCGCTCTCGCTACTCAGCAGGTTGATGCTGTGGAGGTGCTTGGGGGTAGACACGGAAAGTGCCAACACATCTCCAATGGCCTCATGAAAGCCAGGGTTGGCGCCCTCCCGGAAGGTCACAGGCAAGTCCTTGTACTGCATGAAATACTGTATGTGGCCCATCTCGTGATGGGCCACCACCAGGTCCTCCATGTTCACAGTGGTGCACTGCTTGATCCTGGAACACGGGGGCGGGGCAAAGGCATCTGCTGTCCTTACTGCACACAGAGCAGATGCCCATCAATGCTCTGTGCAGGAAACAGCATTATGGGAGGGAAAACCAAAGGAGGCATGGAGTAAGCCTGAGAAAGAGGGAATCTGAGGGTTGGAAGCCCCTAAAGCATGGTCATTCAGGCCACTCTCTGCCTTCAACTTCCCTCAATAACTCCAGCCCTCACTGCTGCCATGTTTTCTAACTGTGCAAAGTACATGCTCTAGAGGCATTGGGACACTCAGTTATTAGTGTAGGAGTTTCTAGAATGTGGGTTCCATTGTTTTTCATGCACACATTTTGTCTCTTCTAAGACTTAGGCTTCCTGGAGCAAACAACAGTTATTCTGAGCTATTCTATTCTGCATCCCATGTGCCCAACACCAGCAAACATATTCACCCTAGGACGTCTATGGCTAGGGCTGAAATGTCATCTGCAGAGCTGTCCACGCTGGAGATCCCACCTTCCTATCTATCCTCATTTTTTCTCTCTTTTTAAAAGATTTTATTTATTTATTTATTCATAAGAGACACACAGAAAGAGGCAGAGACATAGGCAGAAGGAGAAGCAGGCTCCATGCAAGGAGCCCGATGTGGGACTCGATCTCAGGACTCCGGGATCACACCCTGAGCCGAAGACAGACATTCAACCGCTGAGCCACCCAGGTGTCCCTTTCCTCATTCTCTTTTGTGAGCCAGTGAAATCCTCGATGAGGATTTCAGAGCCCTTCAGTTCAGTTGACCCTGTTTTTCTGTCAGTGTATTGGGAGGGGAAGAGCTTCCCAGCATCCCCATTACACCAAGGTTGGGGTCTGTCCATCTTCTCCTATGACTCCTCATACAAGGGAAGACCCCCAGATTCTGTCTACATCTAGCCCTACAGTTGAAGTCCTCATACCTTTGGAGGAAGGGCCCAAGGGCAGGCAATCCAGTGAACCCTGGCTGGTTTGTTCTAGTCTCTCTGTGTCCACTCTTATAAGAAGACACTTCGTCAATTGTGGCAGATCATCTTTGCCACTTCTCCCAAGATATGGGGTCTTCTTTCCCTCCTTTGAATCTGGGTTGGCCTTGTGACTTGCATTAGCCAATAAAATGTGGCAGAAGTGACTGCCAGTTTTGGATTTAGCCTTTAGCAGGACTGGCTATTTTTGCCTTCTTTCTGGGGGATGCCAAGTGCCCAGTAGGAAATCTACCTGACTCTCATACTGGGAGGAAGCCCAGGCTAGCCTGGAGACAGAGATGTCCCACCAACCCCCAGCTGCTCCAATCATCCCAGTCCAAGGACCCAGCATCTGAATAAAGAAGCCAACTTGACTTGATCCCTTCTGTCCCAGCGCATGCCACATGGAGAAAAGACGAGGAACCCAACCAAGGGCCAGAACCGAGTCCCCAGACAGATGGCCCCACTGAGCTACCCCGCCATCTCCAGCCATCAGAGCCACCCCGGCTGAGGTCTCCATCATTGTACAGCAGGAGCAAGCCATGTCCACTTCATGTTGCCTGCTCTCCTGACTGATAAAATCATGAACATGAACAATTTTTTTTATATCACTAAGTTTGGGGTGGTTGTTCTGCAGCAATAAATAACTATTCTCTGATGAAGACAACTTCTGAGCCTCTGACGATGGTGGATCTGTGTGAAGTCCTCAGTGCCCTCAGGTTCTTCTCTGTATCAAGGCACACACACCCACACAGATGGCCTGCGATATGCAGGGGACGCCCCAGAATGAGGGAAAGCTAGGCAGCTCACACAGCGCTCTCACCCAGGACTGGTCAGGGCCCGAGAAGACCCTCACCTGGTAGACAAGATGCCCCTGCCAGAAGCGAATGGCCAAGCCAGGGTCAGGCCCAATGCTCTTGACCCCTCATCCTAAGCTCTGGTCCCTATACTTGCTTCTGCTTGCTCTGGCCGAGGGGACAATAGTAGAACCTTTACTTGGCTCATCTCCTGGCCCACTGGGCTCAGGATATGGTCCCCTGGCTGCCACCTGGACACACCTGAAGTCCTTGCCATTGTAGAAGTCCCAGGCGGAGGCATGGCACACTACTTCCCGCCCATCAGTCGGCTTCTCCAGCATTGACTTATTCCAGAACTCAAAGGGCACAGGCAACAGCCCCAGGGAGGTGAAGAAATTGTTCGCTTCTTCAAACATCCTTTTGGGAGTCCAGCCCTGCAAGCAGAGGGAGCTCTGCCAAAACTGGGGGCGGGACGAAGGGAGCAGACTGTGTGCTGCAGTCAGGGTGGGGGTTGGAAGAGGGCCAAGCCAGGGGGAATTCCTGTCCCACTGAGGCAGAGGTCTCCCCTCCCCTGTGCCCTGGGGCTGCCCTGGAGGAGCAGAAATGTGACCAGGGGCCCAGTGTGCACCTGCTTTATCATGGCCTCTGTGGCATCTATCTTGGGGGCTGAAGGGAAGGGTACCACCAAGTCATAGATGTTGGACCACGTCTGACCCCACATGTTCCCTGGAGGCAGATGGGGGAAGAGAAGAGAGAGGGGAGAGACAGATGTTATTTCCTACACTCAGCACCATCACCCATGGAGAAGGAACCAGATCCCAGTCTTAGGATCTTAACAGCGTCTCTTGAGCACCTACTGTTTGCCAACTGTGTTAGGCATTTGATATGCATTGTCTCCAGCCTGCACATCCTGCCCACCAGGTCATTACTGGCTCTGAGTGCCAAGGTCTGAGCTCTATGCCCCAGCTCTGCCCCCATTCCCAGGGCCATTGGGCACAGGGCCTCCCCTTCGGGCTCTGTGTTCCTCAGTCATCAAGCTGATGTCCATTCTGATATTCTTGGTCTCACCTGAGTGGGATCCAGGATGGCTGGTCTCTTAGGCTACAAGGTCCCCAAACCTGGATGAATTTCTGGGGTCTCCCTCATGATTGGCGAATGGTCTGTGGCCCTGTCTGGCCTCTGCTTACAGTAACAAGCCCTCCAAGGATGTGTTCTCAGTGGCCCGACGGGGACAAGAACCCGATAGCCTCTGGCTTTGCTGCTCTCTCCACCACCCCTCTCTGTCTTCCACTACCTACTTCCTGTGTTCAGGGCATCTCAGTTTACAACCCCTGAAAAAAACGAGGGTCCAAAAGCTGGGATGGATCTACACTCTCCATACTCTCCTCTGTTCTCCTAACTCCCCTTAGCCTGAGCCTTTTGTGTCTGCTCTTCTCCTTCCTCCCACTACATCTCCCATTCCGTCTGTCCGAGCCTGTCATCTTTCAAGGCTCTGGTCACATGCCACCTATGGGGAGGCCCCAGGTCTAACTCACAGCCTTTCCTCACCCCCCGCCTCCCCGCTGTTATGCCATCTTGAGCTGCCATCTTGGGTGGTATGGTCTCCTGCATCATTATTGTAAATTCCTCCACTGATCCATCCGGGTGACCTGCCCCATGTGGCTCTGTAGCAATTGTGGTGCTCAAAGCAAGCAGGGGGCTCATCTCCTTGCACCCATCTGCCACCCCACCCCAGCTCCGGCCTCACATCTTCATTCCAGCCACCTGACATGCTGTCCAAAGATCCCCCCCAGCCTGCCCTCTGCCCTCTGGACAGCACTGGCCCTCCCCCCAGGACTTGTCCTCACCCAGCAGGTGAGCCGGAATGGGGCCCTCCAGGTTGATGTGCTGGGGCCCGTAGTGGCGGTGCAGGGCCCGGCGCACGTAGGCATGGAGGTTCAGGTAGAGTGGCTGCAGCTCCTGGTAAAGCTGCTCCAGGTCTTGCTCCAGGGATGGCATCTCATACATGGCTCTCCAGGAGTCACCTGCATCTTCGTAGCCTGCAGAGGGGATGTGGCCAGGCTCTCTGGACACCCGACCAGTCCTGGAGTGCCCTCAGCCCCACCTCCTCTAGGGACCTCCCTCTCATCAAGTTTTGGGGCTCAGAGGATGCTTCAGAGGCCCCTAGTAGGGCTGGAACCAGAGAGCTAGTGATACTGGCAGGAGGGACTTACCGTTGAGCCGGGCAGCCTTGTTGGCAAGTTCCACGTACTTGGGGAAAAAAGGGAGGATTGCTCTCCCCACTTTTTCTCGCCAGCTCTTCCAGGCCCACAGCAGATCTTCATATTTCCGGGATGTGGCCATCAGATTCGTCAGATCTGCAGGGATGGGTTGAATGGCTCGAGCCTCTAGCCCTTGACTCCCCTCCCACCTCCTTATAAGGCGAAGTCAGTCACAGGGGTTTGGAGCTGGGGTAAGCATGGTGAGACTCGAGAAAAGGCCTGTACAGGCAACAAGTCTAGTGAAATGGGAGAAAGGGTGGTGTACTTTCTAGAAAGGCCTCCACAGGGCAGCCGCCTCAGGCTTAGGGGGCACACCACCATGTTGGGGTTGCAACACTCCTGTGAGGGGTGCGCTGGTTTTCACATGAGTGTTTTGGTGACATGGCAGGTCCCCCCAGCCAGGAAGTGGCCCAGCCAGGCACAAAGCAAAGGTCCAGACCCTGGAGCTCCTACTGGTGCCCACTGATTCCCTGCTCATCCCTCCGTGGGAAGGACAAATGGTTTGGAGGTCACAAGACCCAAGCTCCTGTCTAGTGTCCCAGAATAACCTCACAGGTCACAAGACCCCCCTTGCCCTATCTGTAAAATGGGGGTAAACCAACATTCATGGGGGTGAAAAAATCTAATGGGAGCATGAGGCCCCTGAGCAGGGTGTGTGCCTCATTGGTCTCTGCGTCCTTACAGGACCCAGGACATCTTTCACGAACTGCTCATGAACTGGACGGAATACAAGGACAGCCATGGAGACAAAGTACAGAGAGCCATCCCAGCACCGTCAGGGAGCCAGAAGTCCCGGCTCTGTGTCCTGTCAAAGCCATGCCGCGTGTGTAGCCTCCTCCATATGGATTGCATGGAGCTGACATGCACGGGGCGGAGCCGGAACGAGAATGGCCTGAGCTCACATGTCATTTCCGAAGCCCCACGCAGACCAGTGGTGGCTCCCCTTCCTGGCCACCAGCCTGCGCCGAAAGGCTACAACCATTCAGGGCCATGCACACCTCATTATCTGACTTGTGCTCTCTCCCTGTTTTGGAATATGCTTCGTGATACCTCCTTCTCACAGAGAAAGTACATTCCAATGAATTGTTTGAAAAAAAAAACATATTTGGAGAATTTCACCTCTGCCCTCTGCTGATGTGAGTATTCTGTTTTGTGGGTGCTTCTTCATCTTACTAATGGCAGTGATCTGATGGCCCAGGTCTGGATTAAGAGGCTAATTGGTGGGGGGTGGGGGGTGGGGAGAGGCTGAGGGCTACACTCCCTTTAACGCTCTTCTCCATAACCGTGCGCACACACATGCACACAGCACACATACGCCCCCGCAACACTGTGCGTGCATCCCCATGTATACAAACCGTAGGCCAAACCCTGTCTCAGGAAAACTGTCTCTCTCTCCTGTTTATTTTCCATTTCCCCTCTATTTGTCATTGTTCTAATGTGGAAGTTGGGCAGAGGGCCAGGAAGAGATGGTTTCTGGGTAGCGATTCCTCAGGAAGAATGTTTATGCCTCTGGCTCCCCATCCCTTGGGAGAATGGGTCAGGAGGGAGAAGGGAACATATCTGTGTGCAGGTACTTGGGTGTCCAGGGTGAGCTCTTTCAAAGAGAAGAAGGTTAAAAGGACCAGCCAATGTGGAGAGAGAAAGGGGATAAGCAAGAGCTGGTCTATTCCTTCAAGACGGGAATGGGTTCTATGAGCTGTGGCTTCAATTTGGGAGATGGGGGAGCAAGGAGGAGGCCAGAGAATGTGGGAAAGACACAGGGTGAAGGAAGGAAGGTACCTAGAGTTACTATCCTTAGTTGGGGATCTAAGCCCTCAACAGACAAATCTGAGGTACCTCCTACTTTGAAAGGCAGAGGGCAGAGAGGAATAGAGAGGAATCCAGGGAGGGCCCAGAGGGGGCAGAAGGGTGGATACAAGGCTACGATCAGCTTGGAGATGAAGTACGTGCCCAATCTAAGTGGTGGCAGAGAAGCCCCACTGGTAGAAAACAGCGAGTGAGTCCCCCACGAGGTAGGAGCACCTGACCCTCTCCAAGGGCCAGCACCCCTAACACTGCCAACGCCAGCCTCCCCCATCTCCCTCGTTCCCCACGTGCACTCACCAGGCTCCAGCTGCAGACAAGTGCCGTTGGTGTGGCACACAGAGGCCACGCTGTAAGTGGTTTCCATGTCCAGCAGGATCTTGTTGTACTGCAGGAGGAAGAAGACAGGCGGCAAGCTGCAACCTTTGCTACCCGTTCTGCCCCAGGCACCACCCGGGGGGTGGGGGGGTGCCGTGGAGCTGGGGGAGTGTGTTCCCAAAGGTGCTCCCTTCTCAGTAATTCTGTGGGTGATGTCACCACGGCAGATGTCACAACAGATAGAGGAAGAGGAAGCAGCACGAAGGCCAGACCTTGTACTAGGCTCACTCCCCTGAGCCAGGACCTGGTCCTAGTCCTGGATCTTCCATTCCCTGCTCCCCACAAGCCACAGCCACATACCTCTTCCAGCTCCTTGGCAGGGAGCGCTGCCCGTTCTAGGTCCTGAATTTTCTTTATCATTCGCTTGATGCTCGCATTTTGGAAGTTAGTCACGTCAAACTGCCTGGCCCAGGTGCCAAACTTGAAGGTGTGGTTTGCCATCTGTATGTTCTTCTGCAGCTGAAGGTACAGGGGGAGGCATGTCGTGAGGCCCAGGAGCTGTGTCAAAGGGGGACTTCTGGAGGGGACTGGGGGCTGCCATGGCGGGGGGCTGTTTTATCAGATTGTTGCCTTTGCTCTTCAACCTGGACTGTCTGTAATGTCTTGCATGCGGTACATGTCCCTCAGAGGATACCCATAGTCACACAAGACATATCCTGGCTGGGGTAGAGAAGGGGAAGCCCAGCCTGTAACTTGTTAGGATGGAGAAGGTTGGTATTAGCTCTGTGGCCTCTCTGAGCTTCGGGGTCCCTTCTGTAAAATGTGAATAAGATCACTACTTTTGGAAGGCTGTTGAGGAACAAAGGAGGCAGGAGACGTAAAGCATCAAGGAATCGTGGCCAACAAACAATAGTCTTCAAAAAACATTAGCTCTCTGTGGCTCACCTAGGTGTAACCTGCGCTTACCACACAGGCGGGAAGGGGGTGAGGGGAAGCTAGCCCTCACTGTGGTGGCAAAAAGGGGTTGTCAATCTAAAAATCCACCCTTAGCATCACCTGTTTATGTGCAAACCATTCTAGTACTAACAGCAGATTACTTGCTAGTGAAAGACAACTTTGTTAGGCACTGAGTAGATGCCCACCCAAACCTGAAGCCGAGTATTATTTGAGATATTCCATCTAGATTTTTCACAAATTCTGACAGCTCTGCTCCCCTCGCCCCACCCCTCTGCAGCCACACTGAGGGAAGGAGGGGGCATTTGGCTCTGCCTTGGGTTTGGAGGATCAGTCCCCTGAGGGGAGGAGCACATATGTGCTGTACGTGTGCGTGAGTGTGGGTGCCCGTGGGAGTCCAGGGCATGGAGGGGGCCCCCTACCAGGATCTTGCTGGTCTCTGTGGTGATGTTGGTGTTATAGTTCCAGTTAGCCTCAGCATATTCATTCCATATCACGAGCGATCTCCGGTCATATTCCTCCACAAACCTTCTGGCCTCAACTTCATCGGTCACCAGGCCTGTGGAACAGAGAGGGAAACAGACAGGCCTCCCCTTGCCCTCTGTTGCAGGTTGGCCTGCTTCTGCCCCCAGAACTGCCCCCACCTCCTGCTCCTTTCCTTTCAGGCCCCGTCCTGCCCCCCAGCTGCTACCACTTGGGCTCTGGGTTGTCTGGCTGCTGCTTGTTGCCTGGTGAGTTGTCTGGCGAGTTGTTGTCTGGCTTCTGGTTTTTGCCTGGCTGGTTGTTCCCTGGGTGGTTGTCACCTGGTAGGTGGCCTCCTGGCTGGGGACCAGCATAGGGTGCCCACAGCAGAGCAGGAGGAGAAAGAGGCTAGGCAGTCCTGGAGCAGCCCAACCTTGGCCCATGGCCGCAGGACAGCAGAGCCCTGTAGCCACAGCCCTCTGGCCAATAAGAGTGGAGCCTGTAATGTGACCTCATAGAGCAGTGTGCCTACCAGCCTGCCCCCCCCCGGGGGGGGCACTTAGATCTAGGCACACCCTCCCTAGAATGCTGGGGAAAAAGACATGCCCATTCTCCCCCCAGGTCCCTGTGATGAGCTAAGGGCGCTGCACAGTCCTTTGGGGTAGGGTGCCAGGGCCCAGCTGTTTGCTGCTGACCAGGAACCAGGAACCAGGAAACAAGGGGCCTGGGTCCGGAGCCCGGAATTGAGAACTCACTTTAGCACCCGCCCCACCCTCACTCAGGGCTTTACCAATGTCCTGTGGGTAATTGTTGGGCATCGGTGGCCGCCACTGGTATTCTGGCCATCCCAGCACCTCGCCGTTGCGCTTGTTCTGCTCCTGCAGCCATCGGCTGACGGGCTGGAAGTAGTCGAGCAGTGGTTGAGCGTCCAGGGTGTCTGAGCCAATCGCCTCCCTGAGCACGTCCTGCCAGGGCCTTGAGGAGCCTGCCCGCAGTGCCTCCCTGTCGGGCAGAGTGGGCACGGTGGGTACGAGGCTCAGGCCCGCATCCCAGCCAGGCCTCTGGCCCACCTCCCAGAACAGCAACAGCAGAACTCTGGAGAATAGGAGCTTGGCAGGGGGGCAGGGACTCCGTAAATACTTGATGAGAGGCAGACGGGTGTGGAAAGGAAGAAAGGCACCCTCCACCAGGAGCCCCGTGGCTCTCCTATGAGCAGCCTGTCGCTTTCCAGACACATCTCCCTCCTGCCTCTCCCCTCGCCTCCCACTGGCCCTCCCCATGCCCCTACACACCGGAGCTTGGCCCCCGCCTGGGTAGACTGGTAGATGTCACACGTGTGCAGCGGGCCCTGGTGGCCTGCCTCCTTGCACAGGGCTTGATGGAACTGGAACTGCAGGACAAAACTGACGAAGTACCTGCCAGTACAGGAGGGGCATTAGGGGGACGGGGAGGGGGGGTGCCTCGCCCAGGCCCCATGCAGCTCCTCCCGGGGCAGGAAGGGGCTGCCTTAGGGGAGAAGAGAGAAGCCAGCGGGCACAAGAGAGAGGCCTACTTAAATTCAGGCTCTGGGGGCGAGGGAGCAGAGGATCATGGGGACAAATGGTGGGACAGAACTGGGTAGGAGGGGGCCGCTAGTACCTGATGTATGGTGTCACATTTGGGACGTGAAACTTAGCTCCGGCGTCAAAGTGGGTTTCATTTCGGGCAACTGGAGGACAGATCCCCTGATACTTGGTTCTAGAAGAGAGTGGTTCAATTGTCTTAGGACAGAAGTGTTGTGCACTTCTGCTGCTTTGGCCTTTGCAGGTGTTCCCACCAGGCTGTCCCTTCCCCCTTCTGGTGAATGGTGGAAGACTTCCTAGAGGAGGGAGTTTTAGGTAGGAAAGAATAGGTAGGGAAAAGAGTGGAGATAACATCAGCCACGTTGGGGTTAGGCCCTTTCCTGCTCCCTCTTTACTCACCGAAGATACCACCAGTCAAAGTTGTAGCGGGAAGGGGGGGTACGCCCACTAAAGACCCCCCAACGCCACTGGTCTACCAAGTAGCCGAAGGGCAGGAAGGCAATTTTTTCCAGTGCCATCTTTAACAAGAAATTGATGTCACTTTCTGTTGGAAGACAAGATGAGAAGAGTGAGGTCAGAAGGAGATGGGAGTCCAGCTGGATAGGGTGGGCCTGGGCAGGAGCCAGCAGGAGGCAGAGTCGGCAGACAGAGAGAAGGGAAGGCCAGTCTTCACGACCATAGAGCCCTGCTTGGGAGAGGGTCCTTGAGCAGTGTCCAGTTGGGACTTGGGGTGAGCTGTGAGGCTCCAGGTGGATCCCCAGAGCCTCCTGACCTGGGGCAGAAAGGAAGAACCAGGAAGCGCAGGTGGGAGCATGGGCAAGCTGTCCTGCTGTGGGCTGGAATAGGGTCCAGGTGGGGCTGGGCTGGGTCCTCTCCACCTCCCATACCTATGTCATTGCTGACATTGTCCAGCAGGCCAATTTTGTAAAGATGTGCAGGAGTGGAGACAGAGAGCGCCAACACATCCCCAATGGCCTCATGGAAGCCGGGGTTGGCCCCTTGGCGCAGGGAGACAGGCTGCTCCTTGTACTGCAGATAGTATTGCACATGGCCCATCTCGTGGTGCACCGTGGACAGCTGGTCCATTGTAACCCGCGTGCACTGCTTGATCCTGGGGCAGAGAGATGGTGAGCGTGAAGGTGAGGGATAGGGCAGGGCAAGGGCGAGAGCACAGGGAGGCTGGCACCTAAGGGAAAGGAGCCAAGCGGACACTGCCCTGCGCCTCCAAGGAGCTGGTGGAAACATATAAATGCTTTGCCTTGCCCAGCCCACACTCAGGTCTTTCTCCTCCACTCCAGTGTACAGAGCCGCCACCTGCCAAAGCTGCCAAGGGAGGGCAGCCCAAAGGGTCTCATACACCCAATGGCCTTGGAAGAGACCCAGCGGCCCCCAAACAGTATTGGTGCTGGGGTGAAGGTAGACCTGGAAACTGGCTTTTCCGTGCCCAGCGAGCCCACCCTTCCTGGAGCTCCAGACCACCCCCCCCTTCCCTCCCATGTCTAGACCTGAAGTCTCTCCTGTTGTAGAAGTCCCAGGCAGAGGCATGGCACACCACCTCACGCCCGTCGGTTGGTTTCTCCAGCATGGACCCTGCCCAAAACTCAGGAGGCATGGGCGAGAGCCCTAGGGAGGTGAAGAACTCCTCTGCCACCCGGAACATGTGCGTAGTGTTCCAACCCTGGTGGGGGGTGTGCAGGTACAAGTCAGGGACCAGCTATGGGAGCTCACTGTGGTTGTCCTGGGGTGGGTGGGGGGCAGGCCTAGGGTTGGCTCCTTTCCCATGACGGGAGTCTCTGCTCTGCGGCCTCCCTTCCCAGAAGCAGAGCCCCTATTAACCACAGTGGGAAAACAAAAGTAGATGGTTAACCCACATTCCACTCACCTGAGGGGTCCTGGGCGGGGGGTTGGCACTTCAGCCAGGACACAGGCCTCAACTCACGGATTGTACATACACTCCAGGCCGTAGAAAGGGACGCAGCGAGGTCCCTCCCCTCCCCATCTCCTTCATGTGACTTCTTTCTCCCCTTCTCCCCATGTCTGACTCCTGTGTGCTACCCCCACCCAGCCTGACTCCGAGCTTACCTTGCGCACCATAGTGCTGGTAACATCGAGACTGGGCTTGTCGGGGAAAGGCACCATCATGTCATAGAGGTTGTCCCAGCTCTGGGCCCACATGTCCCCTAGACAGAGGAGGGAGGCCAGACAGTTTAGCTCCCTGCCTGGCCAGTGTCCTCCCTGCCCGCTTCCCCAGGTGTGTCACTGAGCAGGACTCTGGGTCCCTGGCACCTGGAGCCTGGGCACTCAAGTGTAGCAGCCTGCTCAGCATCTCAGGCCCACTCACACTCCCAAATGCTCTGGGTTCCCCAGGGTTGACAGTGGGAGCCTAAATTCCTTCCCGATACTACTAGGGTCCCCGACTCCTGATGCTGAGGCAGGCCCTCCAAAGGGCTTGCTTCCTGGAACATAGTCTAAGATCATCATTCCTCCCGCATTGGACCTGGAGTCAAAGTCTTCACTGTGACTCCTAGCTCCACCTTTTACTAGTTCTATGCCCTCTGCTAAGTCAATGTGCCTCCAGCCCTGGGCACCCTGTCTGAAAAGTAGGAAGAGTACTGACGATTGAGAAGGGCCACCTGCCTTAAGGGGTTGTTGAGTGAGCCACATGGGCTCATGTGCAGGAGTGCTCTAGAATGTGACACAGGTGGAGGACAATCTGTGGGACACGCGTGGAGGGAGGCAAGGTGACATTCTTACCCAGCAGGTGAGCCGGGATGGGCCCCCTGAGGTTGATGTATCTGTCTCCATATCGGCGGTGCAGTGCGCGGCGGACGTAGGCATGGAGGTTCAGGTAGAGGGGCTCTACTTGATGGTAGAGGTGCTCCAGATCCTCCACGAAGGTGGGCGACTCATACCAGGAGCGCCAGTAGGCCCCTGTGTCTGAGAAGCCTGGGGGGAGGGTGGGGAGTGTTGGGGGTGCAGCTCAGGCCCCAGGCTGGGGCACCCAGCTACTGCTTCACCATTCTCCTGGCTGCAGGCCCATGTATCTGCCAGCTAGTTAGGAAAGACGGCTTGGGGGCTGCTGCTCTAAGACTTTCCAACTAGGGGTTGTTCCAACTCCAGCTAGATAGATCCTGGAGAGGTGAAGATGAGCACTAGGGCTTCAAAGTGTGCCAGGAGGCGCAGTGTGAGGGCCGCACAGCCGCCTGGATGAAGGCAGGTGGGGCTTGAGCCGGTTCCACCGTCCACTACCTGTGCCTTCTTGAGTCAGTATATGGAGTCATTGTAATGGCTGCTCTGTGTGACTCGGGGGTTGGGCTCCATGGGGCCAGGAGATGGGGGAGCACCCAGCAAGGTGGGAAGGGCAGCACTCACTCCCACCATGGATGGGGTAGGCGAACTCACCATCCTTCTGGTAGGCCTCATTGCTGAGGACAGTGAAGTTCTGGTACAGGGGCTTCAGCGGGGTGCCCACAGCATTGTGCCAGCCCTCCCAGGCATAGAGCAGCAGGGCATAGTTTCTTGAGATGGCCATGATGTGGGTGAGCTCTGAGACACAGGGGAGCAGGGTCAGTTGCTTCCACCAAGGCAGCAATGGTCTACAGTAGAACTCGCATGCTAGTCCTCACCATCTCTATCTGCTTCCTCAACATCACAGTGTCCCCAAAGGCAAGGGCTGCCCACAGGCTGGGTGGGATGGGGCTGGGAGCTATGCAAAGCAAGCACTCAAGAGAGACCCTTGTCCCCACGGAAGTGAGGCTCTAAGGGAGGGGATACAAAGAGGACATGTCCAGAGGCCAAAACCCAGACAGATCCTTCACGGCTCGTTGGTTGGAGTGCTAACCTTAGGCCACCTGGTAGATGAGGGGGGTGTGGGTGTGGGAGGAGAGAAGGAGGGTCACAAGGGGTCTAAGGCCTGTGGAGGGCTCTGGGGAGACTGAGAGGACCCATGAAAGGAAAAAAAAACAGGCGGCCAGGAATAAGGCTAGTGGGAATAGGAGAGGCCAAAGCACCCATGGAGGCAGGGATGGTGTGGGAGCTGGAAGCTAGAGTTTCAGAAATCAGTCTGCTGGGAGAAGCAGGGATGTGGGAGCATCTGACTGTTCAGCCCTAGTTGGAGGTCAATACCTTTGGGTTTACCCACTCCCTCCATGGGCCCTCCCTTTTTTTTTTTTTAAGATTTTATTTATTCATGAGAGACACACAGAGAGAGGCAGAGACACAGGCAGAGGGAGAAGCAGGCTCCTATGGCGGGGAGCCTGATGGAGGACTCCATCCTAGGACCCTGGGACCATGACCTGAGCCAAAGGTAGATGCCACCCAGGTGCCTCAGGGCCCTCCCATTAAACACACCCTCTTCCTGGGTGCAGCTGGGCCTTGGGGTAGGGCTGGGAAGCCCCAGCAGAGACAATAGAGACAGAGCCATACCTGGGTCCAGGGACCAGCAGATGGCAGTCTTGTTGGGGTAGAAGCAGACCCTGGCTGTGGAATAGATCCTGTTCATGTTGCTCAGCAGAGCGTTGTACTGGAGAGTTAGAGTTGAGAAAATGTTAGCAGTGAACACCCCCAGAGACAATCTGGTGGCGCCCCTCTCCTCTCTTTGCTAGGATGAAAAGGAGGCCTGGAGAGGGGACGTGGCTAGGACACTCAGGACACTTCTGATCACTAATCTACTGATCCCCCTCCCAGTGGGGGCAGCCTGTGGATGCGGAAACAAGTGTCCTTAGAATTTGGGATGGGGTTCAAGTCCAAGTTCAGTCACCGCCTTGCAATGGGGGCAAACCCCTCTCGGCTCTCTGGCCTCAATGCCTTCTCAGTCCTCTGTCTTTCAGAAACCCATACACCAAATCCCACGATGGAGACACTTTGAAAACCCCCTTTTCATCCGTTTACTTGAATTTCACTTTCTACACCCCATCTCTAAGAGAAATCAGTGTTTCAGGATGCCATCCTGGGCTCACGGAGGCTTCTCCTGCAGCCAGGGTGCCTCCCCCCCGGGGTCCCTGGAAGGCACCCGGGGTCCCTGGAAGGCAAGCCGGCCACTTCTGCCTCCGCCGCCCAGGTCCCGTGGGCCCACCTGCTGACGCTTTTCCACAGGCAGGTTGGCAGGGCCCAGGGTGCGCACACCACTGATGACTCTTCGCAGGACTGGGTCGCTGAAGTTCTGCCAGATTGGGTCATACAGCTCCTTGGCCTTCTGGCCCCAGACCTCAGCAAACTCCTGGTTGAGCAGGGCCGCTTCCTCCTGCGGGCACCGGTGCGGGGGGATACAGGGAGGCCACGGCTCCTTAAACGGGAGGAAGGCGGGGGGCTCCCGGACACTGGGGCCGCCTCTCGGGCCTGCGGGGTCAGGAACTGGGGGAATCGGCCTCAGGTGGACGGTGGAGCAGAAACGGGGGCCAGAAGAGAGGCGGGTGGAGAGGAGGGTAAGGAGGCGGCGATGAGCGGGGGCAGGAACCGTGAGGGGCAGGCTGAAGCCGCCGGGGCCGCGGCCGGAGCGGGCGGGCTCCCTGACCCAGCCCGAGTCGTCCCGGGGCGCCGCCCCCGGGGGGGCTCGAGGCCAGGGCAGCCGGCTCCATCGCCTCGGTGCTCGTACTGGGCACGGACCGTGCGCCCGGCACCGCGCGGGGACGCCACCGCGGGTCTGCCGGGCTCCGCGGGGTCGGGGGCTCCCCGCCCCCCAGCGCGGGGCCGCGGGCCTGTGATTGGGCGCCCGGGCCCCGCCCCGCCCCCGCCCCGGGCCCGCGCGCCCACCTGGCGCCGCGCGTTCTCCTCGGTGATGTTGGTGTCGTACGCCCAGCTGGCCACGGTGCTCTGGTACATCACCAGCTCGGCGCTCGAGTTGAAGCTCTGCACGAAGAGCTGCGCCCCGGCCTCGTCGGCGGCAAAGTTTCCGGGCTGCAGCTCGGGGTCGAGCGCCAGGGCGGCGGGCGGCGGCGGCGGCAGGAGCAGCGGCAGCAGCAGCAGCAGCAGCGGCAGCGGCAGCGGCAGCGGCCCCCGCCCGGGACGGCCCGGCGCGGCCCCCATGGCGCGGTGCGCGGTGCGCGGCGCTGCCCCTTCTCCCGCGCCGCGGCCGCCCTGCGGGTTATAAAACCCCGCCGCCGCCTTCCGACACACCCCCACCTCCCCGCCCCGCCGCGCTTCCTCCTCGACTCCAAAGTCCCCCGGCTGCGGGCCTAGCCGCGCGGGGCGGGGACCGACGCTTCCTGGCCCGCCTGGGCAGGGGCGCCCGCCCGGGGAGGGGCCAAGGCGGACCCCGCGAGCTGCAGCCCGGGAGAGGCGGGGGGGGGGGCTCAGGTCAGGCTCTCGCAGAGGAGGCAGGAGAGGGGGAGCTCCCCCGCGACACACGCACACACACGCACGCACACGCGCACCCCTCCGAGGCAGAGGGAGCCAGCAGTTTGCTGGAACACCCCAAGTCAGCACACGGTGCCCTCTCCTTGCCATCACCCAGCCTCGGCGCGGGGACCCGGGAGCCCGGCGGTGCCCGGGGCTCAGTCTCCGGCCGAACGGCCCCCGGCCTCTCTGGGCTCCGGAGCGGCAGCGTGGGGGAGCTGTCCGCGGCGCCGCTGGTGCAGCAGAGACGGGGGTGCTCATCTGCCGCCCGGTCCAGCTTCTCCACCAGGCCTGGGGGGGGGGGTGGCCTGCACCCGCGAGGGGAAGTTTCGGCTTTCGGCTTTGGCTTTCGAGAGAGGCTCGGAGCCCCGGGCTCACCTGTGGCCCGAGGTGGGGGTGAAGGGGAGGGGGGAGGGGGGGACTTACCAGAAAAGGAGCGGGGAACGGAGAGGCTGTTCCGGGAGGGTTTGTAAAGAGGCACGGGAGCGCTGGCACACATGCCCCCTTCCCACTGGGGACACAAGCCGTCAGTGGCTTCCGCAGAAACCACCCCACAGACTTGCAGCCTTTGAGAACTGCAAGATGAACTGTCGCGGGGGAGGTCCCCCTTTCCAGCCTCTCTGTCACCAGAGAGCTACCCCCTCATTGTGACAGATGAAGAAATTAAGACTCAGGTTTGAGTGGCTTGCTCCCAGTCACCTCAGGCCTCCACACTCCCCATCAATCTTTTCCTGTGTCATCCACGTGTCCCTCCAAGTGAGCAGCACAGGGAGGGAAGAGAGTGGCATCTTTCTGAGGTGGCTGTGGAAGCTGAGGCTCCTCTCCTAACTCCTCAGCACCAGGGCAGCGGTCCTCAGAGGTGGGAGAACTCTATACCCTGGCAGACCTGGACAAGGGTGTGGGAGGGGATGATGGAAGAAGCAGGAGGCGGGGCAGAGGAAGCAGGAAAGGAACAGCTTGGGTGGCTCCCCAACCCATTCAGCAGCTTGAGGCAGTTGGGAAGGAATCCCAATATCTGCGTGTGGACGATGCCTGAGGCTCCGAGGGACACATGGGCTCCCCTTGTCATATGGAGTATGTGCAGGAGGCTGTGACCCGAGAACCCCTGAGATGGCTTATCAGATGACAGGGGGCCAGGAACAGGTGTGTGAAGGGGGACGGGGTAGAGGTGGGGAGGAAGATGGTTGCTCCAGAGGGGGGAGGCTGATTGGTGCTGTCCTTAGACTGAGCAGAGGGAGGGGACAGAGAGCTGGGGGCCCTGTGGCTTTCCCTCATGCCAAGGGACACTGGGGCACCTTAGGGCTGGTTAAGTGGCCCCCTGTGACCAGAGCAGCCCTAGCAGGGGTGAGGGGCCAGGAGGAGGGTGAAGCAGTGGGCTGGGGCTCTCCTTCTCAGAGCCATGTGGCTCTCAGGTGGTCCTAACAGCCTGGTGTTCCACACTTCGAGCCCTGTTGCACACAAGTGAGCTGCTGTCTTCTGGGAGGGAGGAGTCTCCACTGCTGGTTTGCAGTGTGTGTGTGTGTGGGGGGGAGCTGTGTTGAGAATAACACCCCTCAGGCCTGAAGGAAGGATCAGGGTGGGGGGGTGGGGGTGCAGGATGGTTGGAGTGGAGGAAGAGCCTAAGGCTTATCTTGCAACCTGGGAGTCTTTCTCTGTCATCAGAAAAGGAACCCAAGGAAAGCAGGCTGAAGGGAGATTTCAGTCCCGACTTCCCTCTGAAGAGCTGCCCACTGAGAACCTACCTAGGAGGACAGGCAAGCAGGTCAGTCCGTTCTCAGGTCTGTGTGACATCATGATGTCTATAGAACATATGGGTTAGAGACTGAGTTCAGCATGGGACGGCTTCTGCCTCATTGAAAAATAATTGAAGCAAAGGTAAACGGGTTGGAAGATAATCTCCTCCCCATGGTTTACATGGAGCAAACCGATGCCAGGGCTGGTTGGCGTCACTCCATGCCTCCCTAACGGTCACATTTACTATAATAGTCTGCTTCCTCCCACACCATCGGTTTCAAGAGACAGGGACGGGGTCTGATTCCCTGGTTTTCCCAGAGCTTAGCACAGTGCCTGGCACAAAGCAGACCCTCATTTAAGGAAGGGATAAAAGGAATAAACGTCATTCATATTCACTTTCCAGGTGGCAGGCTCCCAGCCTCCTGCAAGAATAACAGGAAGAGCTGAAGCTCACTAATTTGGAATTTGCAATAATATTGACGCCACAACCTTGATCCCAATGAGTACAAGTTAAAAATAACTTCTTTCTCTCTCTTTAGGGTCTTATTCACAAGGGAGAGGTATAATAAGAATACATGTTACATTTAGATAGCACTTTAGACCTCCTCAATTCTTTTGTGGGAATTAACTAATTTGATATTGATAATATCCCTGAGAGTTAGGAAGGAGAGACTGTCCTTTGGTCATTTACTTTTTGTCTGCCATCAAAACAATGGAGGGGGTTCTGGTTCCTATAGGAGGAGTCATTATGATTAGGCCAGTGCAAAGAGTTGTGGATGCCTGACCCAACAAAGGAAATGCAGTCTGCTTGGGAGGACATTCACTGTCTCCACCTCTCTTCCAGGGAAGGAGAAATCACCAGCTATCACAGTTGGAGGAAAAAAAAACAAAAACCTTAGAAAATATGCCCCCAAATGGAATACAATTTGAGAGTCTATAAATAAACTCTTATATTTATTCAGTTGATTTTTTGATAAGGGTGTCTGGACAATTAAATGGGGTGGAGGGAAAGGGAAGAAATTCTTAACAAATGGCTCTGGGACAACTGGATTTCTACCTACCAGAGAATAGAGTTTCTACCTCCTACCTCATACCATTTACAAAAATTAACCCAAAATAGATCATAGACAATGTAAGAGCTAAAATCATAAAAATCTTAGAACATAGATATAAATTTTTGTGACCTTAGATTAGGCTGTAGTTTCTTAGATACGATACCAAAAGCACCAGTGACAAAAGAAAAATTACGTAAATTGGACTTTGTCAAAATTAAAACCTTTTGTGCTTCAAAGGACACCATCAAGAAAATGAAAAAGACAACTCACAAAATGGGAGAAAATATTTGCAAAGCATGCATATAAGGGACTTGTGTCCAGAATATTAAAGAACTCTTACAACTCAACAAAAAGACAAATAACTCAATTTAAAAATGGACAGAGGATTTGAATAGACATTCTCCAAAGAGATACACAATGACCAATAGGCACATAAAAAGATTCTCAACTTCATTAATCATCAGGAAAATGCAAATCCAACCACAAAATGAGCTATCACTTCTCACTAACCAAGATGCCTAAAATAAAAAAGATAGGGCACTTGGCTGGCTCATTCAGAAGTCTGTGACTCTTGATTTCTGGGTTGTGAGTTCATGCCTCACATTGGGTAGAGAGGTTGCTTTTAAAAAATAAATTTAGGGTAGCCTGGGTGGCTCAGCGGTTTAGTGCTACCTTAAGCCCAGTGCGTGATCCTGGAGACCCGGGATCGAGTCCCAGATCGGGCTCCCTGCGTGGGGCCTGCTTCTCCCTCTGCCTGTGTCTCTGCCTCCCTCCCTCTCTCTCTCTGTGTCTATCATGAATAAATAAAATCTTAAAAAAATTTTTTTTAATTTAAAAAGACAATAAATGTTGTTGAGGATGTGGGGACATTGGAACCCTTATACACATTGCTAGTGGGATTGTATAATGATGCGGCCACTTTGGGAAGCAGATTGACAGTTCCTCAAATTGTCGGTTGTAGAGTTACCACGTGACCCTGCAACTCCATCCTGAGGTATATACCCAAGAGAACTGAAGATGTGTCCACACAAGAACTTTTACACAAATGCTCAAAGCAGCATATTGTTATTCACAACAGTTCAAAAATGGGAAACAACCCAAATGTCCATCAACTGATGGATAGACAAAATGTAGTATATTCATACAATGGAATGTTATTCTTCCACAAAAAGAAATGAAATATTGATTATATGCTACAAGTATTGATGCTATTACATACTACAACATGGATGAACCTTGAAAACATGCTGAGTGAAAGCAGCTGGTCACAGAAGGCCACATATTTTAATAAACCATTTATATGAAATTTTTAGAATAAGCAAATCTGTAGAGACAGAAAGTAGACGAGTGGGTGCCAGGGACTGGGGGGAGGGGAATTGGGAGTGGCTGCCAATGGAAAGGAGTTTCTTTATGGGATGATGAAAATGTTCTGAAATTGGCAGTGATGGTGGCGTAACTACAAGTATACTGAAAACCACAGAATTGTACACTTCAAAAGGGGGAATTTTATAGTACACAAGTTATATCTCAATAAAATTGTTTATTAAAAAATATGCCCAAATGTTTACTTCTGTCATTCTACAGTCATCAAGAAATTTTCTGATGTTGACTGGCTTTCAGAGAAGCTGTGCTTCTCTTACTGAAAATACCCACCTACTGCATTTGCTTAGCCAAAACCTACCCATCTCTCAAAGCCCAGCCCATAAACAGTTCTAGTTTCTTTAATCCACGCTAATCTCTTTTCCATATTTATTCAGCATTAGCTCACACAGGCACCAAAAGCAAAGTGTAGGGTAAATAGCACTGGATTAGGAGCCAGAAAAATCTGGGCCACACAAGTCTTATGACCTGTGCAAAATAACCTCTCCGAGCGTGTGTAAATGGCTGTAAGCACTTTTACCCATCCTCCTTCCAAGGGTCATGAGAAAATGAAGACAGATCCCTTGTCTGTTGTCACACAAAAACAAGATGTTATTAACATAAAAATCATCAGCTCCCATTCGCTATATGCAAGGCACTAGGCTGAAGGAGAAATACAAATTTATTGCCTTTAATGTAAAAAATGGGGTGAAGAGAAGATTAGGTCCCTGAGGCCACTTGCTGAAGGCTCCCATCAGTAGTCGGTGCTAAGGAGTTGGGAGGAAGAAGGCTTCAGCAGGCAGGAGGGGAAGGAGGGCGGAATCTGAGAGAGGTAGGCCCCTCAGGCAGAGGGTGAGAACAAGGATGCTGAGAGGCCAAGATCAGTACGGTTTGTTTAAATCCAGCCAGCAGTGTCCAGTGGAACTTTCTTATGATGGCAGAAATGTCTGTCCAACAGAAATATAATGAGAGCTGCATATAGAATTTTATATGTTCTGGTAACCACACTTATTTTATTTTATTAAAAAAATTTTTTTGATCCCTGCTTGGGATCTATTCCATATATATATATATATATATATATATATATATATATATATATATATTATTATTCATGAGAGACAGAGAGAGAGAGAGAGGCGGGTAGAGATGCAGGCTCTATGCAGGGAGCCCGACGTGGACTCAATCCCGGGTCTCCAGGATCATGCCCCGGGCTGAAGGCAGGTGCTAAACCGCTGAGCTACCCGGGCTG